TTATTCGAATCTGTTGGCCTAGGGTTTTAAACATAGACTCATAGAGCCACAGAAGGTGACCCCAACACTCACTGTGTGACCACTGGCAAACGCCTTAATATTTATGTGCTGCAATTTTTTTCATTTGTGAAATGTCACGATATCTCCTTCTTCTGTATGATTAAGTTAAATAATTTTAAGCATAATAAAATACATACAAGAACCAAGCATGGAGCAGGGAACCTAACTTGAGAAATGATACTAGAAAGGTATGAAGAGCTAGCAACTCCAAGTTCAGGGACAATTTCATTTATAGTAGCATTCCCGCCGTGAAAATTTAAATTTATTTTAATCCACTGTGAAAGTTTAAAATATATGGTTATTTTATAATCACAAGCATATCACACTTTTCTATTGCCTAATTTCTGAAAAAGAGCTGTTCTAACTGTCTGTTTTAATGGCCGACAGAAACATTTTACTTGAGGAGGCAGCTATGTATATTTATCTCAAAGATTACCTGGCTGGTCTGTGCATATCCTTGAGTAGGCTGGGCGGTGTAAGCACTGTAGCTGTAAGAGAAATTAAATGCAAGAACTGAATATAGAGCATTCAGATTCCCTTACTAAATCCTCCGCAACTACAGCAGGCTCTGCACTTTACAAAGATTACTCAGTCGCACACAACATACTGTTGTAAAAGACTGACTTACCCCTGCTGGGCTGCAGCTTGGCTGTAGGTACTGTAATCTAGAGGAAACAAGGAGAGAAAATAGTGTGAGGTCAACAAAGGAGGAGAAAATAGGGGGAAAGGAACTCAGGTGACAAAAAGACAAATTCTTTAAACTTTAGAGAGGACCTACAGGTAAGCAAAGAGCTCCAAATGAGTAGCTCTTGTTTCTTAACACCAACTCCAAAATAAGTCTAAGCCAGTTAAACTTCAGTTTGAAAACAGTGCCAACTAATGAGGTCAAGTTCGGCTGATCTGGCAGAGATACTTTGCATGTTCCCATGATCACAAACCTCCTTTAACCACAGGCTGTCATTCCTAGTATGTGGTCATCACCCTAAGACTAACAGAACAAGGTGAACCAATAGGATGAAAAGTTTTAACTTCATATAAAAAGGAGGCAAGCAACATTACAATGCACAACACCAGACTGATTACGGTAATAGCTACATCTCCTCAAAGACTAGTTTTTCTATTGCTCCCTCACTTTTGCAAATCAAACCAACCTTAACCCCCTAGCAGGGCTATGAAACGGAATGGCAGAAAATAGAAGTCATCTCAATCCAGTGTTTTAAAGGGTTTGAGGACTGCATCAGGGCTGCAGTTGCACAATAACTTAGAAATCCCACCAAAGCAAAGTTAAGGGAGAATCCTGATATCTGGCAGAGAAGGCATTCAATCTTTTGGGGAAGAATTTGATTTTAGATAAAACCATCTTTTTAAAAATTCGAAATGATTTCGCTCTGGCTGGTGTGGCTCAGTGGACCGAGAAACCAAAAGGTTACTGGTTCAATTCCCAGTCATGGCACACGCCTGGGTTGCAGGCCAGGTCCCCAGTTGGGGGGGGTGGGGGAGACAACTGGTCGGTGGTTCTCTCCTTTAGAAAAATAAAATGAAAAGGATTTCAACTTTTTAAAAAAATGCCACAATTTTTCTTCCCCTCTCTTCTTTCTGTAAGTAAAACTTCCTGTAATTTTCCTTAAAAAAAAAAATTCTTGCCCAAGTCTCTGCTCTCCACAAGAAATACCTATCTTAGTCTATGTTAGTAGACAGCACGGCCACTACGGCCAAACAAAAGGGCCCTTTCTGTTCCACTCAGAAAACAGTCTCTCATCTGAAAGCAACAGTTTGATGTGGCAGCTCTTCATGGAGCAGTTCCCACCCCTATCCCATCCAAAGCCTGCTTCCCAGTCAGGGCATCAGAGCATTTTGCTGAATCCATCTTTTAAGTAGGCTCTACACTTTACCCCACTACTTACTTTCCCCTGTATGCCCTTAACTCAGAATGTGAATCAGCATTATCGAATCAACCTTCCAAAGGCTATGAACTGATTTGCTCAAGACAACCTTAGGCATTTGAAGGTTAAACCTTAAGGCATTTTCAATAGCACCTCGAGGTGTGCTCTCTCTGAGGCAAATGAAAATGAAATGCAAATCGCTTCTTCCATGTGGTATTCACAAAATACACCCCCCAGCATCAAAAAACTGAGTACTTCAACCTATAGTTTGCTGAGATTTGTGTGAGAAACTCTAAGTTGCTGACATCTAAGTTCAATGTCTGCAAGAGGACTTTTATACAAGAACAGTTATATAAGACATAAAATTGGCAAAGCTGATATGTAACAACCAATGTCCTCAGATCAGTGTGAAACCAGACGCTTTTCATAAGAACTTATCTGCCTACAGCACACATACATACATACATACATATATATATATATATATATATATATATATATATATGGACTCAAAACTGCTACAGTCACACATTGGTCAGATTATTTAGCAGTTACATTTTGTTTTTAACCCCCAAAGGCACAGCTGAAGACTACTAAAAACAGGTTGGGGGCGGAGTGTGTGTGATTCAAGTGGGCCTTCAGAGTGCGGGCAATGTTTTAGTTCCTGGTCAGATGGGCAGCCACTTCGGAGTTCGCATTGTAATCCTTTGTAGAAACAGACATACACTGCACTTTAGGTACTTTTCTAGCATGCAACATAAATGAGGAAAAACACCTAACACTACCTAAGGCGGCAGCTTTCAGGCCCTTTACGGTGGCCCTTATCCAAAGGGTAGAGATTTAGAGCTTCAAACTACATAATAAAAGTCAGCAGGGGGCAATTTTGTGGGAGCCACAAAAGCTTTCCCTAAAGGTCATAAGTTAAGGACTCAAAACTCTCTTTAAAAGGTCTGGCCTAACTCCTCTGTTTTAAAGGAAAGAAGGCCCAAGTTCAGATGCCTTATCTGAACTTAGAAGGACTCCAAGGGCCTCCCCCGCGGGGGGCCCACTGCTGTGGTCTAGTACAACACACGGTGGATAGCAGTACGCAGGAGCATGAGCAAAGGCGGAAAAATCAGCAGTATCCAGTCACACACAAAGTTCGACGCACACGTTCTGACTCCCTAAGCTTTAACAGGGGAGTGTAACACTCACCCTTACAAAACTCACACGCTGCAGGGAGAAGGTGGAAAGGGCTCTTTGGAAACCATTTCCCACCAGAATGTCTTCCTGGACTGCAGGGTTTCAGAATCCTCCCTTTTCTAGGGGCACTCTGTACCTACCCCGGCACCAACAGCCCGCATTTACCTGCCTGATTACTGACCACACAGTTGGGGGAAGCTCTTAAACTGTCCTTAAGTTGCTGGATTCGGAACGCTTTTCAATTGCAACTCTGAAGGACCCAGAGCGCCTCCCGTCTTCCTGTTTTCTCCCAAAGCTTTTCAAGCCTGGAGTTCGGGCACATAAGAATAACCCCCAGGAGGAAAATGCCCCGCCTTACTAATAACCTCAAGTTAGTGAGTGCAGGAACTGGCTGCAAACTGCAGGCCAGGTTTAGGCCACACTCTTTAAAACGCTCTTTGCGGCACGGACCCTCCCTAGATACCACGTTCGAACTCCTATCCAGGGGCTTTCTTTCTAAGTCCACTAAGCGTCTCCTTCCCCGTCGGCTTAACCTAGGCACACAAATGTACGAGAAGACTGCCTAAGCATAATTCAAAGGCCGGCTCGGGCCTTTTGTTTCTCCTAGGTCAAAGAAATTTCTTTCGGCAGGGCCCGCGATCCAGGCAGGCTTTATTGTACAACGGATCTCCCTCGGCGTTTGCTGAAAAATTGCCCTGAGAAGCTATTTAATTGCTTTTGGGGGTGGGAAGGAGATGGAACTAATAGCAAAAACGAAGAAGCCCCAGAACAACCGACTGGGGGGGGACACACAAAGTGGGAGCTCAAACCCTGTAAAGCCCAGTCAGGCAGAAGTTCAGCTTGGGGCTGGAACTCTCCAAGGGGGCAGCTAGGCGGCACCGGACGCCCCCGCCGACGGGGCCTTAAGGATGACGGGGCTCTCGCTTATAGGCCGGCGCCCCTCGGCTCGTTAATCCGCTATGTCTTTTTTGTTTGTTTATTTGCTTCTCGGTGGGGCAGAGCCGCCCTCGGGCTTGGGCCGCCACCCTGGAAATAAGGTGCGGAAAGTCACAGCACGCTCGTGGCTTTTCGAGCCTTCTCGCATCCCGACCTTCGGTTTCGGGGTGCCGAGCTCTAGGCCCGACCGAACCCCCCTCCCACGCGGGGCCCGAGGCCGTAGGCCCCGCCCACGTGGCGGGCGGCCCGAAGCGCGGGGCCCGACGGCCACCACACAATGGAGACCACTGCAGGCCCCGCGCGCCCCCGCCACTGCTAGCCCCCGCGCGGCAGGGGCGCTGGAAGGTTCCAGAACCGGCCTGCCAGGTGGGGGAGGGGAGAGAAATGCGAGTCCTCGAGCTCGTCGAGCAGCGCCGGGTACCTCACACTATTCTCAGAAACTCCACTCAGTCGTCTCGGCCGCCCCTAGATACAAGCGACCCCCAACTTGGGCGTCCTGGCCATCGCCGGCGCGGCCGCATTTTCTCTACACTCACCCGTGGACGCCATTTTCTCTCCTTCCTTCTCGTTCTCTCAACGTCCGTCTCCCTCTCGCTTTCCCTCTAGGCACCGCACTGCGCAGGCGCGAAGCCCGCAACCTCGGGCGCTACCATCGGGCCAGGCCACGGGGGGAGCGGAGAGAGGGATGAACCACAGCTTCCTAGGCCTCTCTCCCTCAGCTCTTTCTCTAATCCTCTCTAAAGACTGCTGGCCGTGACGCGCGGCCCAAAGTAGACCGAAGGGACCGGAGCGGCGGGTGAGTGGGTCTCGGTATCAAGGAGAAGTGATTCTCCGCACGAGGCTAAATTGTTCGAAGTGGTCACGTCCGCTGGCTCTAGGGACCGTCTCTGAAGAGTCCGCCTTGAAGGGAAACGGAGACCCGCGGGAGGGCTGGGGGAAGGGACCTGGGCCTGGAACAACTGCTGACTAATTCGCGGGCGGCGAGGGAGGGGGTGGCGCGCCGGGCGGTCGGCCGGGGGTCACGCGTTCGAATGCAAGCAGAATGGTTTTAGGGTGCTCGGGCCTCGGCGGGAAGCTACAGTCCCTATTCCCAGCCGGGCGCCCCGCCCGGCTCTTGGCGGGCGGGGGGCGCGCTCCGCAGTGAGTACCCCAAGCCAGTGAGGACACGTGGCTTGAGCCGGCTGGGGCGGGGACCGAAGCCGGTGGGCTGGAAGGGATGGCCGGAACGTTGCACTCGGTCCCGAGACCCCCGCCCCCCCCCCCGTAACGGTCGAGGTTGAGGAGGCTCTTTAATCATCCTTCATTTAATACCCTTGTTTTTACAGAAGGGGAAACTGAGGCCCAAGGAATTTGGGTACTTTTCCTAGTCACAAAGCTGAGTCCGACCCACACCTTGGGACCCCCACTCTCTCCATCACCCGGAAGACTCTTCCGGGTCCTTGCCTTCCCATTCTGTCCTACGGCTTCCCAATAAGGTAGGCAGGGCCTGACGGTGCATAGCCCCATTTTATAGATTGAGACTGCGGCCTGGAGGGTTCAAACCCCAGTCGTTTGCCCATGGGCAAGTCCTGGAGGGGTGGGGGTTGCTTGTGAGGGTGCAAGAGGAGGCTTGTAGTGGGTGCCTTGGCTCCGGCCAAGGGTGGCACCTGTCTGCCTTTCTGGACAACCTTTAACCCAGTCTCACCCAAATCCCTCAGCCAGGTGGTGCCAAGCTAGTGTTTTTCATTCAGTGAACACGTATAAAGCACCAATTATGTGTGAGGAGCATCCTGGGGGACCTGGGGATGAACCACCCTCCGTCCTCCCACCCTTTAGCTCAGACCAGCTGCCTGTGTGAAAGACAGGCTAGGCTGTACTCATTAGATGAGATTCATGATGTGAAGGCCAGAGAAGGGGATAGGGACATTTGAGCTGGGCTTCAAAGGGTGCAAAGGAGTTTGCGTGTTGAAGATTGAGGCAAAGGAGCTTTCTACATGTTTCCTGCAGGAACTGGCAAGTGGGTTTTGATGCTGAGGATGTCCTTGGCAAGGGAGCAGGGGAGGCCGGCTTGTTGTCTCTCTGGGATTTTGCTCCCTGCCCTGCGAAGTCAGTTCAGTGGGACTCCTGAGACAGACAAGCTTGGCCAAGGATGAGGAGGTTCCAGTAGGACCTGGAGGACAGGCTGGATGTGAAGGGAGAGAAAGGGAGAAAAAGTGTTGCTGTGAGGGCAGGGAATGGGCACGTTTGAAGGCCAGAGTCTGAACTGACAAGGCAGAGCAGCTGCCTGCATGTTGAGGCTTCCCCCTGCTGGGGCAGCTGGTGGCCACATCTGCCTCCCACAACTGGGTGGGATGGCTCAGTTAGACGTGCAGGAGCTGCAGGCTGCCTTGGTCGTTCCTTTCTCTAATCCTATGAAGAAAGGATTTTCTTTCTTTCTTTCTTTTTTAAAATTATTGTTTATTCTATTGCACTTGTAGGGCAGGATTTTCTTAATCCCCATTTTACAGAAGAGGAAGGAGAGGCTCAGAGGTTGGACAGCTTGCCCAGGGATGCACCACAGGAGGAAGCGGATGCTGGAACGTTCCTGTGGAAAGGGGGGCTAGGGCCAGAGGGGCTGTGCTGGGGCTCTGTGGAAGGTAATATTTCAGTCCAGTGGCACTTCATATGCATTGGGGGTGTGGGACTCCTTCTGCCCCACCCCCTCTCTAATCTGCCTGCCCATTGGCTGGTCTCTACCTCTTGGCCTCTGGCAGCTGAGGCCATCTGGCGGTCCAAGGCTGGGCACAGTGGAAGGGAGGAGGGAGGAAGATAGTTGGCCTGTAGCCATAGGGAAGCTGAGGAAAGCTGGAAAAGGCTGAATTTGCCCTGGGGGGCTGTGTCCTTCTTTTTGGGAGTCCAGGGCCTAACTTCAACTTCCCTGGGCCTGTGCTTCCCACCCCATACTCTTCTTCAGGGGGCAGCATTGCTCAGGACCCTCTGGCCTGGCTTCTCCCCATCCCCACACAGGCAGGCTGGTGGACTGGTAGGATGGCTAAGCACGTGCTTAGGGTCCAAGTTCCTCTAGGGCCAAGTTGCTAGGTCTCTCTCTGCAGCCTGTTCTACTTCTGTAAAATGGAGCTGTTGATAGGGTAATTGAAAGAAAGTCCAATAAAAGCTGCAATAATAACTTATTGTTTTCTTTTGCCCATAGCACACAGCCCCAAGACTGCCCTTGACCACCTTTAGCCAAGCCATGTATGACAGAAGCTCCCCTGGCTTACTGTCCCCAGCACTGCCTCTTGCCTCCTCAGTCCTGATGCTGCTAATGAGCTGTCTGTGGCTGGTGGGGGCCGGCCCCAGCCTTGCCCTGGCTCCGGAGCTGCTGCTGGACCCCTGGCAGGGTGAGGGCTGGCTGCCTGGGCCTTGCAGGAGGCAGGAGACTTGCTGTAGGGCCTGAGACCAGTTGGCAGGAGCGGCATGCCTCTTGCAGTGCACGGGCAGGGATAGGACCCAGTGCCCCGGGGAGGGTCAGCCTTGGGCGGGAGCACGTCCATCTCATCCACAACCAAGGAGGACAGAGGAGGCGGCAGGGGGTGGGAGCCTGTGAGTAGAAAGTGTTTTCAGAAGGCTTCCTGAAATAAGAACTAGGGCTTTCAGCTAAGCATGAGAATGGACAGAAGAGGTGGTGCTGGGAGTTTGAGGAGTGACCTCGCTGAGTGCCTGTTTCCCAATAACAACAGCAGCTTCCATTCACATTTGAGGAACTGAAATGATGATCACAGAGGTTAAGTGACTCCTCCATAGCTGGTCTGGCTTGTTCTGTTTAATACAGCAGGGGAGCAGCCAGTGTTTGGAAGCCTTTGCCCCCCGCCCCTCCCCCAACAAGTGATTGCTGGCAGTGGGCAGGCTTTGGCTCCTGGGGAGGGCAGGCTGGCTTAGCAGGTGGCCCTGGCAGAGGGGGATTCCCAACCTGGCATACCTGGGACAGCCTTGGGGGTTGGGGGCCACTAACTTGGCATATCAGCCCCTTCTCTCTCCCAGCACACAGGCTGCTGACCCATGCTGTGGGCCACACGGCCCTACCTAGCCTGCTGTTGAGTCTGTTGCTCCTGCCCACGCTGGGCTGGTGGCAGGAGTGCCACCTGGGCACGCTGCGGTTCCTGCATGCCTCCATCCTGCTCGCCCTGGCTGCTGGGCTAATGGCTGTGCTGCTGGCAGGCCTCGGGGTGTCCAGTGCAGCTGGTGGCTGCGGGTACATGCCTGTCCATCTGGCCATGCTGGCAGGGCAGGGTCACCACCCTAGATGGCCCCATGGGGCACTGCCGCCATGGCTATCGCCATGGCTACTGCTCATCCTGACACCACTGCTCACTTCTGAGCCACCCTTCCTGCATCTCCTCTGTGGTCTCCTTGCTGGCCTGGCCTGTATCCTTTGCCTGGACCCTGGGCCTGTGTGGATGTGTGGGTTGTGGCCGGGCCCCCAGGGTACCTGGGAGGGAAGTGGCACAAGTGGGTCAGGCCAGTGACGCCAGAACACTGCACACACACTTAAGGACCATCTCTGAGTCCTTGTCTAGCCAGGCTCTGGGTTGTAGCTTAGGGGGCTTGTGGCCAGGTGGAGGTGCCAATTACCATTTACAGAGGAACTCAGGAGGGTTGAGGTGGCCCAAGGAGGCACCTAACCAGGACCTCCCCCCAGTGGAAGTGGCATCTAAGCTGAGACATGCAGGATGAGGGGTTTAAGTAAAGAGACATGAAAAAGGAGAGGGGCCTGGCAGAGGGTGCAGAAAATGCGAAGGCTGGGGGCGGGAGTGAGCTGGGGCTCTGGGCGCTGAAAGGGAGAGCCACCTGTGGCCGACGCTGCATGCACATTAAACATGGGCTTTTGCTCTGAAGATGCCTGATGGCTGTTGGGGAAGGCAGTGCACTCGGAGAGAGCAGCGGGCACAGGCAGACCCCTGTAGTTGTTTAGGGTTAGGGACACTAGGTGCTGAGGCCTTGCCGAATCCTGGAGTGGGGGGCATGTTGCCCTGGCCGAGAGGAATAGGGGCGTGTGTCCCTGGGCCCAGCAGTGTGCCTCAAGTCACAGACCTGAACGCACAGATGGGGCTCTGGGAATAGAACAAACAGGGCAGCAGCAGGTGAAACGGGATGAGACAGGTTTTTGGGGTGAGGCAGATGTGGCTCCACCTTTTACTGGCTGAGTAGCTTCAGGCAGATCCCTTTTCCTCTGAACTTCCCCTGCTGACGGGTGACGACAGCCCTTGCAGGACCCTAGTGAGGAGACATGGGAATGCCAAGCATACGCTTGGCACAGGGCCTGGCATGCAGCGTGGGCTCGCTCCTGGCCAGCTTTGGTTTTCCTTGACCGGCCGCCCTGCCCTGGGCAGCCAGACGCAGCTGGGGCCTTCCAGTGGCTGGAGCTCTCCGAGCGGCGGCTGCAGGTGCTGCAGGAGGGCTTCTTGTGCAGGGTCTTGGCGGAGTGCTGGCCACTCAGGCTCCTTCCCACCCCAGGCAGCGTGGCTGAGCTGCCTTTCACCCTTCCTGGAGTGAGGTGAGGGCGATGCCGAGGACACCGGCCCTGGCGGCGGAAGCTGTGGCAGTGGCTGGCAGACAGGCCCTTTTCTGCTTCTGCTCCTCCAGGCTTTCCACCCCTGGGCCTCCTCACATGGCTTCCTCCAGGCTTTGGTCCCACAGCGAAGACTCAGCCTTGTTTCCGCCAGGCCTGGGGCCTATGCAGCCGGCGTGGGACGGCTCCTCAGAGGCCGGCCTGGCCTGGACCGGGCCCAGCTTCCCCACAGGGACCCCGCTGTGGGCAGCCCTAGATGAGCAGATGCTGCAGGAAGGGATCCAGGCCTCGCTCCTTGAGGGGCAAGCCCAGGTTCCCAAGAGCTCACTGTGGCTGCCTAAGTCTTCTGTCTCCTCTCTACGGTAAGGCAGGGTGGGCAGGGCTGGGGTCTCCTGGTGTGAGGGCTGCTGGCGGCCCTGATGTTCTCCATCCCCTCCCTCTCACAGGCTGCAGCAGCTGGAGCGCATGGGCTTCCCCACGGAGCAGGCAGTGGTGGCACTAGCAGCCACAGGTCGCGTTGAGGGTGCCGTATCACTGCTGGTCGGTGGGGAGGTGGGCACTGAGGCCCTGGTGACCGAGGGGAGGGGTGGGCCCGCTCACCCCGAGGGTCCTGGGCCCCCCTAGCACAGGTCGGCCCTCAGGTGACAAGAGGTGTGGCTTATGTGTTCAGTAGTCCGAGTCCCAGCGTGCCAAGTCACAGTGGGTGCAGGAGAGGCCCCTACAGCACCCTGTACTGGTGCTGCTCAGAATAAAACCAGTTCACTTTTCAGCCTGGACCTCCTTGGGGGCAGCAGTTGTATCTGACTGGTGTGTGTTGGCATCAGGGGATGAATGAATGAACAACAAACGAATAGCCGGCTGCAGGCGAGCAGCGTTCCAGTGTCCAGTGTCACGGTCCCTGCACCAACCATGCAGCCTCTGTCTCCAGGAGGTTATGTCCTCCCCCTCAGGCCTTTACTGGGCTGGACTCACTGCCAAAGGGCATTCTTTAGACTTAATTTACTTATTTTTTAGAAAGAGAGAGAGAGAAACATCCATTGGTTGCTTCTCACACATCTGCAACTAGGGACCTGGCTGCAACCCAGGCATGTGCCCTGACTGGGAATCGAACCAGTGACCTTTCTGTTTGCAGGCCAGCACTCAATCCACTGAGCCACACCAGCCAGGGCCCAAAGACAATTCTTAATCACCTGTTTCCCAGCTTATTTCTACTCATCCTCCTGTCTCACTCAGCCTACTGAGACTGTCCTCCAGGAAGCCTTCCCTGATTACCCAGGAATACCATCCCTTCACTGCCCATGGCCCTCAGTGTCCTTGCTGGACAGGGGCCAGGTCAGTCAGTCTCCTAGGCCTGGCCCAGAGCAGGCTGGGAGGCTGGTAGCTACACTGCTGGGCCCCCAGGCAGGAAACAATGGGTGGGGGTGCTGTGGGGGAGAAGCTTCCTCCTCTTTGAAGAAGCAGCCCCTCCCTTGGGAGGGGATGTGCAGACAGAGCTAAGAGGGCAGTGAATAGGGAGGGTAGGGGTGTATTTTGGATGGGCTGGGGAGGGGTAAGGCAGGGGGGCACCCGGGGAGCTGGACTTTGAGGGGTGGGACAGGGGGCTACATGTCCCAGAGCAGTCTGCACTGTGGTTACCCTGCTTTCGGTCACCAGCTGGGGACCAGAAACCAACTGGGAAGTCTGGGGGCCACGCCATCAGTTTCATTTCAATTGAGCGAACAGGCTCAGGAGAAGCTGCCCTGAGGTTTGGCAGCCCCTGGCCCCTCAGAAGCCACAGCTGTTGCCGGATACCTGGCCAGCGGGTGGGGGTGGCCTATGCCTCTGTTCTGCTTACCTGCCCCTTCGCTCCCCACTGCCCTGGGGAGCCCCGGCCCCCTCACCCTGTGTGGCCAGCCTCAACCCCGCTTTGCAGGCCGGCAGAGAAGGCCACCGAGAAAAGGAAGGAGGCCCCTGGCCGCCCCCTGGCGCCCCCATGGAAGCACACACGGACCAGGCTGGGTGGGGAGTCAGGCTGGGGGCCTTTATTGCCGGCAGACACCTATGTCCCGGTGTCTGTCAAAAGCTTTGTGGGAGCCGGTGGCTCCTTGCTTTCCATGCCCCCACCCCTTACCTGGGACATCGGAGTGGCTGGGGGCTTAGGGGACAGAACTGAGAGGAGGAGTCCACAACACCCTGTCAGCTCAGGCAGATTGACCTCAGGGTTGGGGACCCAGCACCGGGAAATGAGAGGAGAGGCGGGGGTGGGCTCCTCTGAGGTTTGATGGGAAGGGAGGTGAGACTGCCCTCCCCTCTTCATCCCTGCACATACCGAGGGCTGGGCAGAGCCCCGCCTCCCTCACTGCCTGCCGGCCTGGGAAGCCTTGGCAGCAGATGGAAGACAGAAACCCCGAACCTGCCGCCCCCTCCCTGCAGAGGAAACAGGCCCTCACCTCCTGCCTGGGCCACCTCTCCCTGTGAGGCCCCAGTCCCTGCTCAGCCTCTGGTGGGGCGGGTGCGCCTGGGGTGCCGTACCCAAAGGCCTAGGAGGCAGAGAGACCCTGAGGACATCAATAAATACGGATGGGCGGTCCCTGGAGGCAGCTGGCTGAGCCCAGGCTGGGAAGGGAAGCCTGGCCTGGCCCACCCCGAGGGGCCGCCTGCACCCTCAGCCTCTCTCGTTGCGGCTCCTGGGGGCCACGATCCGGTAGTTGGTTGTGTGTCCTCCCCTCTTGCCCCGAAGGAGGTTGGGGGTGCCTGTGCCGGCAGGGTCTGCCCCTGACCCCTCTGGTTCTGCCGGAGGGAAGGAGAGAGGCTGGGTTAGTGAGGTCTGTGCAAGGTGCCCACCTCCCCTTGGCCCCCTGGGGGGTGGGGGGCTGGACACTCAGCCGGGCACACTCTGTACCGGCATCCAGGAGGCAGGGCTGTGGGGAAAACGGGGGTCTGCCCTCTGGTTAGTGTCCCCGCACCCAGGAGCCAGCCGCCAGCCCCCAGCCCGTGAGCACTTAGGGCCTCTTTGGTTTTCTGTCGAGTGGGGATAAATGAGTCCACCGTGTTCCTGAAATGCTTGGCGTGTAGTGACCACTCCACAAAAAGTACAGATCGTTTTTTCTGCATTTTGGGGTGAAGGTGTGCCTTGAATCGTCCCCACTTCACAGCTAGGTAAACTAAAACCAAGGAATGGACTCGCTTTGCCACTTGGATTCGGCTGCTTAGGTGTGAAGGGTTTAGCAAGGCCAGGCTCTGCCACTGACCTGCTTGCTTGGTGGCTCGGGGCGAACTGGAACGTGGTCAGGCCCTCAGTTGTCTCTCCCCTGAAACCAGGGGGGCAGTTCCAGGACACTGGGGTCCTGGCCAGCTCCTGCAGTTATGAGGCCAGTTCCGATTTGGCTATGCCCCAGCCTAGAAATGAGCTGCACCCTAAGAGTGAAGTGAATACAGTGATACCTTGGTACTCATTAATTTGTTCCGGAACTCACGACGAGTGCCAAAACTGAGGAGTCCCAAGCAAGCGTGAGGGATGAAACATTTTTTTCTCATCAAAATGAGACGAGTACAGGGCTTGAGTTCTGAAGCCAGTGAATACTGAGGTCTGATTATAATGGGTATTCTTGCCACCTAAAAAAACCCCTACTCATCCTGCAAAACCCAGAGCAGGTCTTGCCTCTTCTAGGAAGCGCTCTGTGACGATCCCCTCAGGCCCTCTCAAAGCTAAGTGAGCAGGTCGAAGGGTGGGCTGGTTCTCTCAGGGGAGAGCAAGGCTCAGGGAAGAGCCCCAGGGTGGAGGACTTCACCGAGCTTTCGAAGCCCCGTTCACAGGAGGGACACTTGGCCGTGGTGAGCACCGGCCTCCTACTGAGGGCACTGCCAGGAGAGAGGGCTCGACCCTCCTAATCTTGACTGACCCTGACCCTGTGTGTCCCAGCCTCCCCTGCACCTCTGGGCTGAGACTTGGGGACCGTGGGGCAAATAAGCACCTGCCATCACAGTTGAGGGACAGTTCATGCCTTACATCGGGGCTGAGGCACCAGCGTCAGCCGGGGCCCGCCCTGCCCCCCACTCCCCCGCCCCATACCCTAGTTCTGTGTCCTGGGTGAGCCGTAGGCCTTGCAGCCGCATCTGGAATGTGGACCGACATTCCTGTCGTCACACCCGTGCTGCGTCAACATGACCAGGAGTGGAGAGTGGTTCCCACAGTACTCGCCGGGTCACTGCTCAGTGGGACGGTGAGCTTTTGACCCAGGTCTCCTGTGGGTCTGGTCACTGTGAGTTTGGTCACGAGATGCTGCTCTGAGATAATCAAGTTCAGGGCCTAGTGAAGCAGAGGCGTCAGCGAACCTCTGCCGACGGAGCCAGAAGAGCCAGGACAGACCTAGGGTGGACCCCTGGCCTTTTACCACTGCTGTCCTTACGACCCTGAGGGAGTCTGCATCTGCGAGAGGGGCATGGCATCCCCCTAGCAGGCTGGTTGTAAGGACCGGAAGTAGTCATTGTAAATCCTCCAGCCCAGTGGGCTGCATGTGTGACAGCTGTTACTGCTGCCACTCCTGATTATATCCTAAACCTGAGTCCCCTCTGGGTCTTCAGCACCTGCCGTGCACGATGGGCCAGTGGGGATGGTTCCATCGCCTCTGCTCCCCTCCTCTCACGCCACCCCGTTCAGGCCCACAACCAGAGCTGGCTCGTGGGATCTCTCTTCTAGGCTCATGGCCACAGAGTGGGCATGGGCCTTCCTAAGTGACCAGCACTTCCTCTGTGGGCTGCTGGAGACAGCTGGTGACAGCTGGCTGAAGGAGGGCAGAGTATCGATCCCAGGGCACAATATGGCCCTCTGGCTCCTGCCACAGTTCCTGAGAGAGGAGGTGGGGGACACCTGCAGAGGTGCTGAGAGCCTGGGATTAGGGCCTTGGTCCCCACTCTGTGAGCGGGAAGGAGGTCTGGGAGGTGGGCAGTTACGTTTCCAGAAGGCAGAGAAGCCGTGTGGTATGGTAAGAGGGGCTTTGGAAGCAGACCACACACACACCCCCTCCAGCCTCCAGGCCTTTGCCCGCATGGGACTCTGGGAGCGCTGCCCTTCCCGCCTTTTCCTCCTGGCGCCCTTGTTGGGATCTTCCAGGACCCAACACAAGTGTCCCGTCTCCCAGGAAGCCTTCCCTCCACCCCCCACGGAGAAGTGACTCTTCCTCACCCATGTCTTTAGGTGCTCCTGTACCCCATGACCCTCATCTCCATAGATACTGAGGATCCCCTGGCACTCGGTAGGCGCACCCTACAGTTTTGCTGAATGAAGGAGGCTTGGCTTTAACCTGAGCCCTTTTTTGCTTGGAGGCCTCGGTGCCCTCGTTTGTAAAATGGATGGGAAGTGGGTCACGACGCCCAAGACCTGTGTGCACTGATGCATGAGGACTGGGTTGTGAGAAGGGTGGAAAAGGGATGCTGTGGGTGCCTCTTAGCAGGTGGGTAAGGAGGGGGGCTCAACCCTGAGGGCAGCCAATCTCTTCCGCTCTCCAGGGTGAGCCACAGACTCCAGTTTAACGGGGAGAGACCTCCTTGGCCCCACCTTGACGAACCAGGCACAGGGAGGGGAAATGCCCACGTGGTGTCTAACTTTCCATGCCTCCCTGACCTACCTTCGAGGACCTTCTCAAATTGGGCCCTGGCAGGTCCTGTAGCCCAAGCATTCACGCCCTCTGCAGTCTCACAGAACAATCCCTCCAGGCTGCCTCTGGCTTGGCTTTTGCCCATGCTGTTCTGCTGCTTGTTCACTTGTCCCTGATGCCTGCCTGTCAGGGTTCCACTTCGCCAACACCTCGTCCAGGAAGCTCTCCCTGAGATACCCTCCCCAACGTACCACCCTAACCAGGGCCAGGGGCACTTCTGCGCTTTCATAGATGCCTGTACTCACTCCACCATGGTATTCCTCACCTCCGGTTTAACGGCCAGTTCCAGGGTGGCTCCTGCACCCCGACAGCCTAAGCTCCATGAGAGCAGGACTGTATCTTATCTGTTGGAGCCTGTGCAGGCAAGATGCCTGGCACAGAGCAGGTGCTCATTCACACAAGAACCAGTTACCAGAACCTTCTCTGTGCCGGGCACCGTCTGCTAGCTGGATGGAAGGGCTAAAATTCGAATGAGTGTCCGCTGGCCTGGGTCCAGCATTGAGAGTCTCCTGTGACCCCAGGACCTTCCCAGGGTCTTCCGGGAAGGGGCTGCCCCTGCCTGCCCACCCTGCCATTACCTGGCCAGATGATGGCTTCCAGCAGGGTGACCCGTCTGGCCAGGAGCTCCAGCTGAGCCTGCTGCTGCAGGAAGCTCTGTAAGCTAGGAGCCTGATGGGAGATCGAGAAGAGCAGACGGTGCGAGTCCGGCCTCCGAGGGCTGGGCCGGGGAGCCGAGGGTGGGGTGTACGGGCCAAGAGCCTGGGTGTGAGTCTCTTCATCTCCCCTTCTAAGTGGGGTCTGGGCTTTCTTGGCTCCTCAAGTGACCAGATGGGTGATGGGTAGAGAACTGGCGAGTGAATTCCTAGGGTGAGGGTCTAGCTCTCTCAGGCCTCTGAACAGACGCTCAGGGCTGGTTAGGAGGACCAGAGGGGAAACGGGAACCGTCAAGGGGATAGCTGAGGCCAGGAAGGCCTGCCCTGGAAGCCTCTGGGGGCTTATGGGTGAAGGAGGATCAGAATTGGTGGGTGGTACATTACCCAGAATTCCCTGGGGCCTGAGCCTGACTCTGTCACTCACAGTCCCCTGCATTTCTGGAGTCCAGCTCCATAACCTATTGTCCCTGTGGGCCTGGAGACCGGCTTGGTTACCCATGATTTCTCTAGAGCTGAAGTCTGGTTGAAGTCCGGATCCATTACCCATAATCCTCCTGTGGGCCTGGGCTTTGATTTTATTACCCACAATCCCCTGCAATGTTTAAGTCTGGCTCTGTTACCCATAATCCCCTGCTGGTCTGGAGTTTGGCTTCATTGCGCATAACTTCTTCCAGACTCAAAATCTGTCACCTCTGGTTTCCCCTGCAGGCCTGGAAACCACATTACCCATAGTGCCTGGAGGCCCAAGTCCAGCCACAGAGGTGGGGGCCCTGGTTTCTAAGGCCCCCCATTCACCTGTGGGGTAGGGACCCAGTCACTGAGGGGTAGGTGGTCTTAGCTTCTCCAGCCTCATGACTAGGCCCAGGCAGCTCCACCCGGGAGGGCCTGGGAGAGGCTGTTGGGCAGGGGCTGGGCTGTCTGTCCGTCTGTCTGTCTCTACTCACCATAGAGCCCAATCATTGTTTCCAAGATTAAAACCCTCTCAGCTAAAATCTTCAAAGCCTCGCGTAGTTGGTGCAACCCCTCCCCCTGCGGAGGAAAGAGACAGATGCAGCCGTGAAGGGGGCAGGGGAGGGGGCCCTGCAAAGCCTGTCGGTGGCCCATGCCCCACCCTGGTCATGCACCCACAGCCTGCACCCCCTGCCACAGCCCACGGCCCATGGACAGCTGGGGCAAGACCAGGAAAGGACAGGAGGGGGACAAAGCAGGCAGAAGCAGTCCCCTGAATAAGTCCTGATGGATCCCAGCTGGCTGCCTTCTCCCCACACCCTTGCTGCACTGGGGGTGAGGGCAGTGGTGCTGTCCCAGGGCCTGCGCGGAACCTGCCACAGGACATGCCCTGGAGGCTGCCATGAAGCCTCGACACCCCGTCTCTAATGATGGGGCACACTTTTTGCCTACCTCCGTCAGTGGGATCAGGCTACTTACCAATACACTTTCCATTCACATCAAAAGGAATGTACACAAGTAAAATGACAGCATGTTTGAGTGGCAGTGCTGTCGGGGAAGCCGTGTCTAAAATGCTGGCCAAGCTGAGGTTCTGGCCCTGGCGCCCCCTCCCCAGCCCTTCCACTTTGGGCACAGCCCTCCCAGGCTCTGACTGCCCCAGGTCCGGAGTCTGTGGGTCCTGGAGCCCAGCCCTCAGCCCCACCCTCTCTTCTAAGCAGCATCCCTAGCACCCAGGCCCAGGGATATGGCAGCGGGTCCACAAAGCCACCTTCCTCCCAGGCCCCCCTGATCTGGGGCTCCCTACTCCCAAGTAGTGCCAGCTGCTGCTGGGGGCTCATGCCAGAGACCACCAGGTGGCACTCACTTTCTCTTGCTCCCAGTCTTTCTATCCTTTCCTGCCCCAACATGGGGTCCATGGTCTTGCCTAAACTCACACTCCCTCACTCCTCCTTCCCTAGTCCAGACTTCAGCTAGGTCTGCGTTACAGATAACCTCGACCCCGACAGAGCACTAGTACAGCAGGTGGCTATTCTTCCTGTCACAACCGGAAGTCTCTCTCGAGGCCCTTCACTCAGTACGGAGTAAGTGAAGGGATGATGTGTCATATGCATGTTGCTGTAATGACAGTCCAGCCCTTTAAAGTAGCTGCTCCCTCCCCCACACATCTAACAACTGAGAGGTCTGCCAACACACTCGTGAGCCCGCCGTGGCCTTGCGGTGACTGTCTAGTATGACCCCAGTGTCCTGTCCACATCACATGGATTGAGTTACCCTTAAGCCACTGACTGGTCATTGCAGCCTGCGGGACAGTTGCAGGGTCACCACAGGCTGTACACCAAAGTAATCCTTCTTCTGGCATTACAGGAGGAGGAGCTAACAATGAATGAGTTTCAGAAATTATGTTAAATCACTCCCGGCGTGGACAGCGGGACGAGCTGACATCATGAGCCTCCTGCAGAGATGCAGTGAGAGGGCACCACATCCCCCTCAGCGCCCCTGCCAAGAGGACTTAACCTGCATCTCATCAGCAGGAAACAGTCAGACAAATCTCGGTGGTGGGACAGTTGCAAAGAGACGAAGAGAAAGAAAAACGGGGCATGAGGCCTATGCTGGTGAAGAGAGACTAGAGACGGGACAGCCATGTGTCATGCATAAAACTTGATTAGAAGTTTAAAAAAAAACCCATAAAAGGCACTGTGGGACCACTGACAAAACTTGAATATGTTATGTATCACATGGCATCATTTGACTGGATTAATGTCATCAGCTTTCTTAGGTGTGACTGGTATCGTGGCTCTTTGGGAGAATGTCCACCGTCTTTCCAGATACATGCTGGGTGCTAAGGGAGATGTGGATGAAGTCTGAAACTCATCTTCAAATGGATTAGGAAAAAAGGTCTGGAAATATATAAAGAGAGATAGAGCAAATGTGGTAAAGTAGTAATCGGCCAGTCTAGAGGAAGGTAAGAATAATATTCACTGTACCAACATGTCTGCATATCTGAAAAATTTTAAAATAAGAATCTTGAGGAAAAATGTGGAAAAAAAGATCCCACTATTTAGATCACTCCCCAGGTAGGGGGGGGCTGCTGTTGGCACTGATGACACCCCAGCACCTCCCTCTGGGCCAGGCCTGGGTATCCGGGGCCTGTTGGACACCCCACTGGGCCATCGTCCAGACATCTCCCGTTTCTCATGGGCACACCCCAGCGGGCCTGCTTCTCCTGCCTCTCCTTTACTACGTGCCTCTCTTCCCTCCTCGCTCTCCCCTCACAGCCACACTAGCACCCCTGTGTCTCTTAGCTCCACTGACATCTGCCCCCTCCACTGTCCCCAGTCCCAGCCCCCACAGTCTCTCGCCAGGGTGACCACGGCAGCCTTCGGCCTGGTCTCCTTCTGCTTTTCCCACCCACTCTCCGCACGGCAATAGGGGTGTCTTCTGCAAACAAAAAATCTGACCATGTCACCTCCCTGCTCAGAACTATTACAGTGGCTCCCCACTGCCCATTAGAACAAAGTTCAAACCCCTTGATATGGCCTCCTAAGTCATGAAAGCCTTTGACCTCTGTCTTACCCCTTGCCTTTGACCTCTGCCACTCCAGGTACTTTCACATGACACTCCTGCTCCTCTGCCTGAGCACCCTTTGCCTGGTTGATGAATCTTTCGGGCCTCAGCACGGGTCTCCACGAGGCAGATTCTAAATCCTCCCCCATCACAGCTGAGCTCCCCCCATCCCACCGCTGCTGGTTACTAGTCTGTTTCCCCCCAACTTCACCGTGACCACCCTGAGGGTAGGGACTGTGTCCAAATCACATCTATGTCCACAGTGCCTAGCCTGGAGCCTGGCACCCACCCAGGAGGTGTTTGGGGGAATGTTAGCTGGTGCCCCCAGTTCTGCTTGCTGAAAAGCCTGGGCTCCAGTTCCAGCTCTGCCAACAGTTCGCTCTGCGGAGCTGGGCCCCATTCTTCCTGTCTGAATAAGGGGTATGAGCTTTGCACTAGATGGGCTGGTTCAGTGCAGTCACTCCTTAGTAGTGCCTGCAGTGCCTGCCAATGGCCACTGGGTGTCACTGCTGAGCCACAGCGGAGCCAGGCTCAAAAAGCTTGGCCAAGTGGGGTTGGTAGGTAGAGTGTGTATATGAGTCTTCCCGTCCCTCCCCACACTGCACCTCATTCCCATCTGCTCCCAACAGAACTACTCCCCCAGCCTACAAAGCCTCATGCAGCCCCCAACCCAGCAGGCCCCCTCCCAGGCAGGCAGCAAGCAGGGGCAGAAGTGCAGGTGGGTGAAGGGGAGGCAGGTGGACCGGCAGGGGCCCTGCTACCTCTTGGAGGCCCCTCTCACAGGTGGTCCTGACTTTGAGGCCTGATCTGGGGTAGTTCAGGCATCTGTTCTCCTGCTGGGACCCCCATGCAGGGATGGGGCTGCTCAGCCTAATTCAGACTTCACCTCACTCTTCCACCTTTCCTGGTCTGGATGGAACATGTGCTGGGGGAGGCCAGGGCAGCAGCTGAGGGGAGGCAGAGGGCTGGGCTCACACAGGTCTACCTGACCCCCGCTCCAGCTCATGCCAATGCTGGCAGTATGCTTAAGAAGCTCTGGAGCCACCTGGGGGTGGGGCAGGGGGAGAGGTGGCACGGCAGGGAGGAGCTGGGAGGGGCTTGCCAGAAAGGTAGCAGGGCCCCAGAAGTCACGGAAAGACACGGGGTTGGACTCGTGCAGGGTGGGGGACTCCCACGGCTGTATCCATCGCTGACCCCACAATCAGGAGCAGAGAGGGCAAGGCAGGCGCTGGGTGCCCTCACTAACTAGTGCCTGCCAGTAAGTGGGACGGCCCAGCCAGACTGCACCAGGGGGAGGGGCTGGGGGTGGAGGAGGGAGGCACAATACCAGCCTCCAAAAGAGCTTCCCGGTTGTCTCTGCTGTAGGAGTGTCCGCCCCAATCCCATCCATGTTCCAAATGTCTCCTATATCAGTGACAGTTTCCAGTCCCTGCATTTTGGGGCGTTTGGTCCTCCCCCAATGTGTCTTTTGGGGGGGTAGATTTCTAAGCCCTGAAAGTCATTCACTGCAACTGTCTCCAATGACTATGAAGATTTCTAGGGCCCCACGTGTGGTTCCTAGGTCCCCTTTCCCATTTACTCTCTGCCTCATGTGTGTGTGACAGTTCCTGAGCCTGCCTTCCCATTCTTCGTGGGCTTCCTTTGTGTATGGTGCTTTCTTGTTCTCTTCACCTCATTTCTCACGGCTCTCCTGTGACTATAACAGTTTCTAGACGTCTCCCCTCACTCCTCCTCGGTCTCCAATGGATGTGATGGTATCTAGGGCCTCATGTTAATTATGGGTCTTCTGGGCATAGTGGAGTCTTGGTCCCCTGAACTCACTCACCATGTACATATGTACAGGACAGTTTCTAGGCCTCTCTTTCCATGCTTCATGGATTTCCTATGTGTATGATGGTGTTTAGGTCCCCTGGACCTTTACCATGGACTCCTGGGTACCGCAGCATTTCTACGTCTCCCTTCCAATGTTTCATGGCTTTCCTAAGGCCCCCTGTCCTGTTCCTCTGTGTGGATATTGTTTTCGTGCATCCCTTTCTGCTGTAGACGGGGGAGCAGAAGCCAAAGCCCTTGCTCAGAGAGGCCTTTGGAGGCAAAGGGATGCAGTCTGGACTGGGTCAGCCCAAACTGCCCAGGAGGGGCAGGCAGGGTCACCCTGGCCTGGGAAGGCTGCAGAGGGAAGGCGGAGACAGGGACATGAAGACAGAGAGAGAGAGAGCATGGGGTCTGCAGATACGGCTGGCCCTGCCCAGTTGGGAGGGACAGGACAAGGGAGGGCACTCGGGCTGAGAACTGTCCAGGCTCCTCCATGGGAGAGCAGCTTGCAATGGGGATTTGGCTGGGGTGCCCCCACTCCAAAATAGTCTCCCGAGTGCCCAAGGCAGGAGCGGGTAGCAGAAGATTAGTGCTAGGCTGGAGCTTACCCAGTGGCTCTTCTCACCAGGATCTCCTTTGGGGCCAGGTTCCCCCTGCAAGGAGAAATAGGGGTAGAGGCAATGGAGGGAAGGAGGGAGGGAGGGAGGGAAGGAGGCATGGAGGGAAGGATGGAAGGAGGGAAAGAGAAACATAATGAGAGAGACTAAAAGACGGAGAGAGGCAGAGACAGAGTCGTAGCTTGTACTGGACTAACACTAGATAAAATGCAGAAAACAACTGTTTGAAGGCCAAAGAAAGTGTTAAAGAACAGCCAGAAACTGGAGGATATTTGGCCTTTGAAAGAAGGAAACGGCGCTGGGTAAAATCCACCTAGCTTTTCCTCTGAAGGGCATGTACCCCAGACCCCGCTGTCCAGCAGACAGCTTGAGCAGAAAGCTCCAGGTTCTTTGGCCTGAAGGGTCAGGGCATGGAGACAGCCAAAAAAGGAGGACATTGAGAGGAAATCATTGAAAGCAGGAAGCTACCGCAGGGAATGACATCTGCATAAATTCTCCCTTTTAGCCCTCAGATAGTCCTTGAACTGGCCAACCTCAGGTCCCAACCTGAGTCCAGCCCACAGCCTAGGCCAAAAGTCAACACTCTTCAGAGGAAGATAACAGAATCCTTCACCGTATAACAGAGTCCCTTCTCTATATTATCTAGATTGTCTAGTGTGCAATAAAAATTATTAGACATGTGAAGAAACTGGAAAATGTGGCCTGTACTCAACAGAAAAATCAGCCAGTAGAAACAGCCAACCCAGATGCCGAGTTTAGCAGACACAGATTAAATTATCTGTGTTAAAGAATCTAGCCCTGGCTGTGGCTCAGTGGATTGAGTGCCGGTCTTCGAAGCAAAGGGTCGCCAGTTCGCTTCCCAGTCAGGGCACATGCCTGGGTTGCAGGCCGGATTCTCGGTTGGGGGCATGTGAGAGGCAACCGCACATTGATGTTTCTCTCTCTTTCTGCCTCCCTTCCCCCCGTCTAAAAAAAAAGGAAAAGAAAAAAGAATCTAGTGGAAGTAATACAATGGGTGATGAGATGGGCAATTTTAGGTGAGGTGTGAAAATTTAAAAAAATAATCAAATGGAAATCCTGGAAACAAGAATGATTGTACTTGAAATAAAAAAAATCATTAACTGGGATTAACAGAAGATTGGCCACAACACAAGACAGAATCAATGAACTTAAACGCAGGTCAGCGAAAGAATTCCAGCTGAACCACAGAAAGTAGAAAGATATTTTAAAAAACTGACAGAACCTCAGTAACTTGTGGGAGCACATTAAGTGTATCTGGAGCCCCAGAAGGAGATAAAAAAAGCACAGGAACAGAAAAAAATGTTGGAATAAATATTAATCGGGTTTCTTTCCAAATCTGATTTAAAAACAAAACAAAACAAATTTCCAGTTTCTGGTCCAGCCTAAAAAGAGCTCGGAAGTCACCATTGTGTCCTAACAAGTAAAACGCTGAACAACCCGGAAACTCAACAACTTACTTTTCAGAGCCATCGGAGAGGTGAGCGTGGGGCAATCCTCCGCGCCCACCCCCCCCAGCGAGCGGAGACCGACGCGCAGACGTGCCGGAGAGCCAGGGCCGGGGTGAGAAAACCCCCACGTAATCCATCCACCGCTGGGGCTCAGCGGGGACCATTCTGAGAGTTAAACGTTCCAGGGGGGCCCGGTCTCCGGAAGGCCCCCACACTTTTGAGAGTTTTACCTGCGGGACCTCTTCTAGGTCCATACAGTGAGAGTTGGGGGAAAATAATCCCGTCATGCTTTCAGCAAGGGGACAGGAGAAGGAACGACCTTGAAGTGTTCCAGAGCATCCTGGTCTTAACTGTCCTTGGGAGAAACTATCACAGCCGAACCTGCTGGGGTCTTAATCAGAGCCGAACGGCTCCACCTTTCCACGCAGGGGCAGGAGCACCGCCCCCCCCCCCCCACCTCCAGCGCCCTCTAGCCACCTTGCCCCGCCTCGGGGGAAGCGCTGGTGAAGGTTGCAGCCCAGGGGCCCAGGCCGCCAACAGGCAGAGCCCTAGCCCTCCTCGCGGAGCTGCAGAGCGCCTCCCCGCCTCCTGCGCCTTCCAGCCGTGCTCCCGACCGCAGCTCCCCTCGCTCAGGACATCGTGTCTTTCAGCAACAGTTACAAGGCAGACTAAAAGGCAAAAACCACATTTTTTTTTCTCTTTTTCAATCCTCACCCAAGGATATGTTTTTATTGATTTTCAAGAGAGAGGAAGGGAGAGAGAGAGAGAGAGAGAGAGAGAGACAGAGAGAGAGAGAGACAGAGAGAGAGAAACGTTGATGTGAGGGAGAAACACTGATATTTAGGGAATTTACTCGGTGTGATACTACAGTGGTGCATGCATGTCACTGCACGTGTGTCAAAAGCCACAGACGTACATGCCAAGAGTGAACCCTCGTGTTAACCTGCGGACTTCGGGTGACAGTAACACGCCGCGGTGGGTTCACCAGCTGCACCAAATGTGCCGCCGCGGTGCAAGAGGTCAGCAGCAGGGGAGAATGGGTGGGGGGGGCAGGGAGAGTGTGCGAATTCTCTCTACTTCCTGCTTCACTTTGCTGTGAACCCAAAATAATGCTCTAAAAAAAGGATTTAATGAAACAAAACAACCAGCAAAAACAAAAGCCTAGCAAACTAACAGATCCAGGAATCTCAGTGAACACAGAGAAAACCACACCCCACGACGTTGTTATCAATCTGTTCAACCCAAGGGTGGAGAGAAATCTCTAAAGCCGAAGAAGACACGTGCAGGAGGACAAGGATCAGGACGGCAGCCCCTTGCTCCCGAGACATTGCAATGGCCAGGGTAAGCCAGGAGACCACGGGACAGCCAGCGTCTGTACGGTGCTAAAAGGGGAGGAAAAGGCCAACCTATCATTTTATACCCAGTGGAAATATCTTTCAAAATTCGAGGTAAATGAAAGACAGCTTTGATAAACAACAGCAGTGAGGACTGGCTGTCTGCAGACTCACACGACAAGAAAGGTTAAAGGACATTCTTTTTTTTTTTTTTTTTAAAGGAGGGAGAAAGAGAGGGAGAGAAACATCGATCAATAGCTTCTCTCATGCCCCAAAGCGGGGACCTGGACCACATCCCAGTCATATGCCCTGACCAGGAATCGAACCGGTAACTTTTCAGTCTACAGTCCAGCACTTAATCCACTGAGCCACACCAGCCAGGGCAAGGACGTTCTTTAGGCTGAAGAAAAATGATGCCAGGTGGGAATCTGGACCCACAGGAGGGCACGGAGAGTATTAGACACGATAAATACACCAGTAGGTGTAAAAGACTACTTTTCTTTGTTTTCTTAACTTCTTTAAAAATCAACTGAGTGTATCGAGCAGTAACAACAATATACTGTGGGGTTTATAGCAAGTGCAGGAGTAAAACAGGACAAGGACAGACGGGGACATAATCCACGCAGCTGTCACGCTCCTGCTCACATATGCATGAACTGGGGAAACACTAATGCAAGTCAATGGTGATCGGTTACGGGTGCATGTTGTTATTCGTAGAGCAGCCGTGAAAAAAATAACCCTGAGAGGTGTTTTAAAAGTTACCAGTAGAAGGGGAAAAAGAAATAAGGAGATTGCGGTAAACATAACAAATAGCAAGGTGGTTGACTTACCCCCAACCATATCAATAATTATACATGTCATTACATGGAGATGAATCAACAGTGAAACTTTAAAAAAATACGAGACTCAGTGTCCCAGGTTCGATTCCCAGCCAGGGTACATTCCTGGGTTGCAGGCCAGAACCCCCAGCAACCACACATTGATGTCTCTCTCTCTCTCTCTCTCTCTCTCTCTCTCTCTCTCTCTCTCTCTCTCTCCTTTCCCTCTCTAAAAATAAATAAAATCTTTAAAAAAAATACGGGACTCAAGTGTGTGTTGTTTACAAGAGATACACTTTGAATAGAAAGACACAGACAGGTTGAAAGTTAAAAGGATTGGGAAAGATTTGCCATGTAAACTCTAAGCATAAGAAAGCTAACGTGGGGCCATTTTTAAAAATCAAAGTAGAACGCAAGACAAAGAGTATTACCAGAGAGGAAGAGAATCATTTCATAAAGATAAAAGGGCCGAGAAGACAGTAAAATCCTGAATGTGTATGCACCTAACAACAGAGCTTAGGAAACAGATGAAGCAAAGATGGACCAAACTAAAGGAAGAAACACACCAACCTACAGTTACAGTCAGAGAGATGGAGGAACAGAGAAGTGCAGGAGTCAGAGAGTGAAAGACAGAGGTGGCTTGACCCCAAGAGGCTGCCGGAACCCTGGACAGGGAGGGAGAGAGGAGATGGAGCATGCCCCGGGCCAGACAGGGCGGGTCAGGGCTCTGGGGGATGCAGGGAATGTGCCTGGGGGATCCTAGAGGGAGCGCTGCAGGGTGGGCAGCATCACTCACCCGCTGTCCTGTGGAGCCTTGGGGCCCTGGCTCTCCAGGAAGTCCCTGTGTGGGGGGGAGGAGAGGTATGAAGTCAGCTCTCAGGGTGTCTGACCCACGGCCCCCAAGCCTCCCCAGATCCCTCCACCCAGGGTCCAATTCAGTACTCACTCTCTCGCCCTTTTCTCCTGGGTATCCAGAGATTCCTTTGGGTCCAGTGGGGCCTGGGGGTCCCTGAGTAACAAGACAGGGCCTCAGCCTTGTGCTGGGGCAGGGTAGAGTGGGCGGGGACTTGGGGCCAGAGGGGTGGGGGAGGGAGCTCCAGCGTGGCCTGGGCCTCTGGGCCCTTCGCACACCCCAGGACGGGCGCAGTGAGAAGTCCACACAGCTCGGTGCCCACAACTGTGGCCCTGGAATCGGGCAGTCCCCACCTTGCGCTGGAGGTTGCCACGTGCTGGCCACAGGCCTAGGGCAAGGGTCTCCACCTTCCTTGGCCTTAGGTGATAACAACAGGGCTTCTTGTTACTCGGACTGAATGAGAAGCTTTATGGAAAGTAGTTTGCACATTCAGCGCTTCGTAAGTGCTTGAGTGAAGGAAGGAAGGAGAGACAGACGGACGGACGACGGGTGGGTGAAAGGAAGGGTGGGCAGACGAGTGGGAGTACTTGGAGAAATACTCACTGTATGTCCGGGACTCCCAGGGGCGCCCGTGGGACCAGGAGGTCCGGGGGGACCTGGAATAAGACAGGATGTCCTAGGAGACTTGACTCGAGGTGGTGAACACACAATACAATATACAGGTGATACATTACAGAACTGTACACCTGAAACCTGAATAATTTTATTAACCAATGTCACCCCAGTACATTCAGTTAAAAATGAAAAGACAGGACATCCTCAGCGCCAAAACAGAGTGCAGCGGCAGGAAGTCCGCCACCAGCTCCCTCCTGGAGGTCATGGCTCTCGTCCCTCCGACACCCCTCAACCCTACCCCTTACCCCAGGCCTGGACGGAACTTACCCATTGGCCCTGGGGGGCCGGGGGGCCCAGCTGGTCCCTGGGGCCAGTGGCTGCTGGCCTCCGTGAAGGTGTTAGACAGAAACGGGTCCCCTGTGGGAGGAAAGGTGATGAGTGGGCAGGGCTGGGTGGGGTGGGGCTCCTGCCCCCTGTGCCAAGCCAGCTGCGACTGCCCTGTGGGACGGCCTGCCGCGTGGCTAGGGCCACTCGTCATCTGCTCCAAGGGCGGGGAATGGGGACACCATCGGCCACTGGGGCCCGGAGGCAGGGAGACGTGGATTCTGGCCTTGCCACAGTCTAGCTGGTGACATCCAGGAAGACTCTCCACCTTGCTGGGCCAGCACTGTCACAGGTCAAATGGGAATAAACAATAAAGCTACCATTTTTGCAAGAGTGTCACAGAGGTCTGCCATTGTCCCCACTGCACAGATGAGGAAACTGAGGCTCGGAGAGGGAGAGTGAACGGTGGGATGGCATGAATGGGAGAGTGGTGCCCGGCTGGGCACTACCGTGATGCAGATGGGGTTGAGCCCAGCACCCCAAGCTCTGACCTCTGGCATTACACATGTGGGTCAGGCTGGGGAGGTGGTGGAGGGTGTATCGCAGGGTCTCGCTGGGTGGAGGGGGCTGGGGCCTCTCTGAGCACAGGGCAGAGCTGTGGCCTTGGGGGCTCAGAGCTCACTTCCTGCTACGGGGCCTTGAGCTTCCCTGAGCCCTGAGGGCTGGATCCTGGCCAGCTCCAAGGCCCGGTGGTTCCAAGAACAGGGTCAGAGGCCGCCTAGTCCTGCAGCCAGCCCCCCATGCCCCGGCTGTGTGGTCTCCCCTCTCTGGCCCTCAGTTTTCCTCATCAGTGAACAGAAGAGGGCAATTGCACCCATGGGAGGATTGCGTGCCTGGCCAAGAGCCACGGCAGGTGCCTGGTAGACCGCAATTGACATTGTGGTTACCTGACGCTAGCCTCACCCTGCCCCCACCCACACCTGCTGTGACCCGGAAGGACTCACCATGCTCAGAGATCCGGGCGTGGGGTGGTCCAACGGGGGCTGGGGGGCCAGGGGGGCCAGGAGGCCCCGGTGGGCCTGGAGGTCCCCTCTCTCCAGGGGCACCCATAGCTCCATCCTGGCCAGGGCTCCCTGGGGGCCCCTGTGGCCCTGCAACGGAAGCAGGGGGATGGGCGGGTATTCAGGAGGCAGAGAGCCCAGGGCGGCTGCAGGGGGAAGGACACAGCAGCCTGGGCCCTCGGGCAGGAAAGGGCTCTGGCCCCAGAGAAGGGCAGTTCCTGGCCGACTCTCCTGGCTGTCCACAGGACAACAAACACAGCCCTCCCCAGGGCCTTTAGGACAGTGGGTGCTTGGTGCATTCTGGAAGATGCTGACTTCCAGAATGTTCTCTGTGGTCCCTTCCAGGCTTTTGCATGAGTTGCACCCTCTAACAGTCCTTCCTTTGCTGGGCCTGGGGTGCACTTCGGGTCATGCTTCAGACCTCACCTAAGATGTCGCCCCCACTGGGAAGCCCTCCCCACCCCAGCTGATCTAGGCTGGGTCTGAGATTTTTTGGGGGGGCTCCCACACCTGCAACGTCCCCCTAAGAACCCTGGTCACATGGGTGGGCGCTGCTGTTTCCCCTCTGCCTGGCCCCACCCGTCCACCCACCCGGGGGCTCCAGGAGGGCGGGGACTGGTCTGGCCCGCCCCAGCGCCTGGCCAGAGCCTGCTGGGAGCAGCTTTCCATCCCAGGGAACGTGGTGCCTCGGAGAGCCCAGTGTGAGTGGGGCACCCGCGGAGGGGTGGTGAGCCGAGAGACCAGCGAGGGCAAGGGGCCCAGGCCACCTCTAGCTGTCAGGGTTGAGAAAGGAAGATCCCAGCCCGGGTCCCCCCTGGGCGGGGCTGCTGGCCAGAAAAGTCTGGGGGGGGTGGGTAGTGCTGTGGACACTCACCTGGTGGGCCTCTCATTCCTGTTGGGCCCCGGTTGCCAGTGTCTCCCTTGGGGCCGATGGGCCCGGGAAGCCCCCGGGTACCCACTCGGTCTGGGGGAGAAATCTCATCAGCTCCGGCCTTGCTCCCGCCCCCACCCTGGCCCCCACCAGCACCTACCATCTCGAGGGAGAAGCGGGGCCCTCACGGTTTCTCTGGCTCCCGGTAGCCCTGGAGTTGGTGGGGGGAGGCAGGGGTCTATGTCATCCTGAGTGCCGCCCCCCCCCTTCTACCAGAGGAGGCGAGAAGGCGGGGCAGGATCTGCTGGGCCTCCTGGGCCTCCAGTGCTCAGGGGCCCCTGGAGATCTGGGGAGCCCCAGGCCCCCAAGGGGGTCGATCTGGGAGTCAGCAGCAGCGTGGAGACTGGTATCTCATCCCCCCAACTCACTCCCACAAGGGAAGGGTGACCGACTCACCTTGCAGGCCTCCGTCCCCAGGGCTGCCCTGGGCAGCCGGGGAGCCCCAGAGTGGGGCAGGGTCCTCAGGGGCAGCTGGGGTTGGGGGCACTGCCTGCTCGGTGACAGTCAGCACCGCCACCTGTGGGGGAGGAGGGAGAGAGATGGGGGTGGGTACCAGGGCCTCATCAGGGACAGGCCAGCCCAGGGGCCCCGGTGTGCGGGACAGCAGGCCCAAGGAGCCAGCAGAGCCCAGCTGGGTGGGTCCAGAACGTCATCAGAAGTGACTGCAGTTCTCAAACTGCACAAGTCATCACATTGTTGTAGGCAAGTCACTGCACACCACCACGGCCACCCAAGGCGATCCTGTGACCGCTGCCCTGTCCTGTCTGCAGGGCCATGCGGAGTTTTGCTTATGCTCACCTGCAGGAATCGTGTGAAGCCTCTCTAGGTCTGCTAAAGCACCACAGGCGGGAAGGATTTTTACTGAATTTGAAGGGATGTCTGGGAGCTTCTGACATGAAATGCCATGAGGTGTTTACAAAACTACTTTGGATGTAGTGGGGGTGGGGGGACTCTCAAAGGTGGGCAGTGACCCGAGCCACCTACTGAAGATTAAAGAGAGGCCAGAATGTCCACTGAGGAAGGGGGGTGGGGGATTGTGTGGGCCAGCCCCGAGAAAAGCTGACGCTCTGGGGCAGACCTGAGAACCACACCCCAGACCTGGGACTGAGCTGCCCTCCTCCCGGCTTGTCCCAGGAGGGGGGAGCTTGGGCAGCCGTGGAGGTTCTGGGGGCTCCCACGCCTCACAACTGAGGTTCTAGTGTGTGGTGTTTCAGAAGCTGGGCTTTTCCACTTGATATATCAGAGGCGTCTTTTCACGTCAGATCATGGAGGAGGTGTTCACAGCTGTCTGATCCTGCACTGCGCCTCGCTCCCTAATTAGGCAACCACGCCTTCTGTTCTCTGGTTTTCCAATTTCCCTATGAATGGTTAACACTCTAGTCAACCTCTTGACGGCTCCTCTCCTTCCCGGAGGGAAGAACAGTGGAGGCCGGGATCTGCAGACAGAGTGCGTCTGCCTCTGCGTGCATTCAGAGTCTGGGAGGAAAGATGCTCGCTCGCTCGGGTGTTAGGTCGCTCTCTGGGGGCACAGGTGAGCGCTGCCCACGGTTCTCGGGTGGGTGTTTCCCGGTTCTGAGTTTTTCATGTTTCTGCACACATACAGGGTCCTACTCTTTCATTGTTAAAACCTTGTTGTCTTGAAATCATTTGAGACGTGCAACACGTGGTTTGCTTTGGAAATTGGGAAGACAGTGGCTGGGCTGCGTGAAGGAAGACCTTTGTGGGAGATGGCGGGGGAGGGGAGGGGGTAAGGGATGATGGTAACAGGGCAAGGAGGGGCCCAACCAAGAGCTCTGGGGGTTTCTACAAACATCTGGCTGGGATGGGAATGGGGGTGCAAGTAGGGGGAGCTCCATGGGATCCTGGAGGAAGCGCAGGCCAGGCTGTTGGACCGTGAGCGGGCTTCCCAGGGCGGGGCCTGGGGTGGGGGTAGTGGGAGGCCAGGAAGGCTGGATGGGAACCGACGGGAGGGTGGTGTGTGCCTGGCGAGGCAGCTGCCTGCCGATGGGTGTGGCGGGAACACTGAGTGGGCCGGGCGGGGGGTGCAGGGAGGGGGCGGGAGGCTGCGGGCCAGGGGACGGCTGCTCACCCACCTTGGCCTCCAGCACCTTCAGCCGCTCTGTCAGCTCCAACACTTTGCTGCAGTTGGCACAACCTGCGGAAGGGAGGAGGCTGGGGCTGGGGGTTCTAGGTTCCCCTGGGAGACTCTCAGCCCGTGGAGGCAGGATGGAGGACGTGAACAGACATGTGATGACCTTGACCCATGAGACAGCCCAGCTCAGGGAAGGGGCTGCAGAGAGCAGCCCGTCGGGGTGGAACATGCCCCGCAGGTCTCTCCCAGGGCAGGACCAGGGAGCCGACTGTACCCCTGCGGCCCAGGCATCCAACATGACTCCTTTCCGGGAAGCCAGGGCAGGAAATCCTGTGGCTTCCACCTGGGTGGGGCTCCCTGGGCTTGCTGGCCTTGGGGACTGACACATCATAGTCTGGAATGGGCTGGCCTCAGAGGGGCCAGCCACTGACCCTCCCTCCAGACCCGTTGTCCAGCGCCTCTGGCCTCACCAGTGATACCCCTTGGTTACTCATAAGAGTTCTGGCTGATTACGGAGCCTCCTGGCTGCCAGGCACCACCGAACGCTTTACAAGCCTGCCTCTCCGGTCCTCACCGTGACCCTGCGTTTCGGGACGAGTGTCAGCCCCACCTGCACCTGAGGATACGGAACTCAGAGCACGGGTGGGCGAGCATGCTGCAGCCACAGAGCCCGGGGTGCAGTCCCCGCGTTGCCCCTTCCTGGCTGTGGGGCCTCAGGCCGGGCACGTCCTGTCTCTGACCCTCAGCTTCCTCCACTTTAAAATGGGGACCGTGGTGCTGTCCTGGGGGACAGGGACGCAGCTGGGAGGCTTGAACAAGCTGATGCTGGAAAGCACCCGGCACGGTGCCTCACACATCGCAGACGCCCAGAGACGTGTCGTTGAAACAAAAAGAGGAAACGGGGACTTGGAATCCCGTGTCTGTGAGAGTCTGGGGGTCACGGGTCTTAGGGTGTCTGCACCCAGGTCAAACTTTCCTCTGGGGCCCTTCCTCTCCCCCTCAAAGTTTTCTCTCCAGCCCAGGGCAAGCAAAGGCAGGGCACCCTTCCCAACTCCCCACTGCGGGACCCAGATGGCTTTTAGGGAAGTCACCTCATTGCCTGTACCCCCGCAGGCCTCCCCGAGCCCAGGGACACCCCAAGCAGCTGCCCCAGGACCCACCTGAGAAGGCTGTGGGCCGAAGCGTCATCCGCCGCATGGCGTTGCCTGGCCACCCAGGCTCCACGAAGCCGGAAGAGCCTGCAACTGACGGATGGTGCGGGTGAGAGCCTGCAGGCCTGCCCCGCCCTCCTCCGATCAGACTCCCCTTCCCTGCCCGCCACTCCAGGCCCAGCAGGGATCTCTACCCACTCAGTGCAGAGGGAGGCGGAGGCCCAGAGAGGTGGGGCGGTTTACCTGGGTCACGCAGCATGAACTGGGTTGAGCTGGAACAAGGCTGCCAGCCTGATGAGGCTAGGGCAAGAGGGCTGGCAATGGGTGGGGGTCACGGGTGAGGCTGGGGGCTTCCCCAACGACCCCGGCAAGCTGCCTGTGTTAGATGCTTAGAGGTAACAGATGCAAGGTTGGGGCCCAGCCCTGTCACTTGGTGACCTGTGTGACTTGTCCTCTCTGGACCTACTTTCCCATCTGTGAAATGGGGTCATAAGGCCCGGCCCCTGTAACTCCCAGGCTGGTGTGAGGGCTGAGGACGGCAACGTGTGCAAAGGGCCCACTGTGTACACACACACGCAGGACCTGGCACACAGTAGGCACTCAGTAAGTGGCAGCTGTGACACTGCTGTCCACCCTCTCCCTGCCCTACTTGGTAAGAAGACACTGCAGTGGATCCAGACCTGGTTTTAAATGAAAACCAGAGGGAGGCTGGCTGCCTGGGAGGGCCAGGGGGGCCGTTCCAGGAGCCCACCCTTGTCACCACTCCTCCGAGGAGCAGGCTGCCTGGCTGGTCTGGTCTCGGCTGCCTGGTTTTCTCCACAGCTGGAGGGATGGGCTGGCCAAGCCAGCGGCAGGGGGTGCAGCTGGAGGGGCTCTGAAGCCAGCAGGGCAACTGCTACCCTCTGCCCACCGCCCCCCGCCCCCCCCCCCCCCGCCCCGCTGCCTTTTAAGGCCAGGAAGTGTTGTCTGGGGGGAGACAAGACCCAAATAAGGCGCGGGCCTGGCAGCTGGGAGCCAGGCTGTGGGTTGGTGCAGGGAGTGAGAGGCGCCAGGAGCTCAAGCCAGACTGGGCCCTCTGGCCAGCCCCCAGGAGGGAGGCTGCCAGACCCTCTCCGGGTCCCACCATGCGGCCTGGGCTCAGGCTGGGCCCGCATCACCAGCATCCCCTCCCAGGGGCCTGTGACTTGCCTGGCACAGGGGCAAATGTTGCCGGGGAGGGAGGAAGGTGGGCGGGCAGCCCAGGACTGGGGCAGGGGTTAGGAGCCCTGTGAGCGGGAGGAGCGGATGCCACCGGGAGCCCTGCCCAGCGCAGTCTTTTACGTAGCCCAACTCGATCCTGCGAGACAGGTAATATCGTCACAGTGCACACTTGGTTCACACGCCCTCTGGGCCCGGCCCACGAGAAGCACTTCACACGTACAGTCAAAGCCCTGTGAGTGGGTGCTTGCATCACCTCCATTTTACAGATGGGGAAACTGAGGTCCAGAGGAGCTTGGGTGGCCGCTCCTCTGTCCCCTATGCTCGGATGAATACATGAGCATGAATATTTGCCCTGGGGAAAGGGCGGCAGAGCAGCAAAGTGACTGGCCCTCGGTTGAACACCTCAAGGCTGGAGCCTGCACTTGAACCCAGGTCGCTCCAACCCCAAGGCCCAGCCTCCTCTCTCCTGGGCTACCTGGCACCTTGAGTCAGGCCGCGAGTCCCACTGGGCAGAAGCCGTGAGGCTCGGCACCAGTGGAAATGCCGGTCTCTGGGAAGAGTGGCCCTGCCAAGCCCTCCTCATCCTCTGCTCCCAGGTGAAGAGGTAAAAGGCCATTTTCTTACTTTTTTCAGGACGTCGAAGAAAAGAGCAGCCAGCCCTCCAAGCCCGTGGAAGTTTGCATTTTCTCTGGAGGAAGCTTCCACATAGCCTGCCCCCTGCGCTCCCCCGTCCGGTTTCCCTTTTCTCTCTGTGGCGCTGCCCGCTCTCTAACGTCTCATTTATTGCGGCAGCTCCCCAGCCGGGCTGGAGCCTGCAGCCCCCCAGGGCAGGGCCCCCCTCTGTCTTGTGCTCGGCCTGGAAAAGGGCCTGGTGCACAGTAGGGCCTCAGCAGCCTGAATAAACCTTCTGTCGATGAATGCAGGAATCACCGGCTGCAAACGAATTTAAAGCAAGCGAACAAAACAAAAGGCAAAAGGAGGCAGCGCACGTCGCTGTCCTGAAAGTGAGCACAGACGTTCTCACGTCACACTGGGGTGTCCCTGGGTTATAAACCCCGGGAACTTGGGGCTGAAAGTTCTTTTTTGACCAGTTTGCTTTCAGACATTTCAACGGGAGCCGGAGAAAACTACAGAAATGCAGGGAAGCCTAGCCTGTCTGGCAGCACGGATGTAACTGGCTCAAAGCAATTGTGGGTTAAAATTAAAAAGAAAGAAGAAAATTCAAAGAAATAATGGAACTGTCAAAAAAAAAAGCCCTAGAAAATGTTGGCTTTGGATTTAAGATTCAGAAAACATTATCTTCCACCCCTGCCCCAAAATTCTGAGAAAAGGACAGAAATACTTTAAGGGACAAATTGGGTCGTAAAACTGTCCTGCAGCTCAAGGGCTTTCCCGAAGGGAAAAGCAGGGGTTGAGGGGCAGGTCTGTTGTAGGACAAAAGTGTCCCCTCCCTCCCACTGGTGATGGGCGAGGGCCCCTGGAGCAGGAACCCCGCAACCAAGCCTGGTGGTCCGTCCTGAAGGGCGTCTTCCCAGCCCCAACCTCACCCTCCCGGGATCTCCAAGCTGGTCGCAGGACCACAAACCCCAGCTCCACTCTGGGAGCCTGACTTCCGGCCGTTTCCCGCCACCTGGAAGGTTCCCACCACCTGGGAGGTCCTACCAGCGCCACACACACACACACACAGCCTCCCCACCTTCAGCCCCACTGCTGCTGCTCCTGTGCCATCGCCTCCAGGAAGCCTTCCTGGACAGACCGTGGCACCCACCAATACCTCCCTCATGCCAAAGCTATCATCACTCCCTGCCTTGACCTCTACAAGGCCAGTGCCATCTGCAGTTTCTAGCCCTGCGCCCCCGGAAGACAGCTGCCCTTATGCCCTGGCTGGGTAGCTCAGTTGGTTAGAGCATCCTCCCCATACGCCAAGGTTGTGAGTTGATCTCTGTTCGAGGCACACACAGGAGTCAACCCATGAATGTATGGATAGGTGGAACGACGGGTCAGTGTTTCTCTCTCTCCCTTGACCTCCTTCTCTCTAAAATCATTAGATAAAAATTTTTAAAAAATAAAAAAGCAATTAATAAACAAACCGCTGCCCTCCCCTCTGCCCAGTGCTGGGCCTGAGCTCGGCCCCTGCACCCCCTCCCATGGGGTCCTCGTGAGAACACCGAGGCCCAGAGAGGCTGCCCATCCACCCGGCAGGCCTAGGGAGCTGGGACTAAACACTGCCCTGAACTGTTCAGAACGGGATGTGAGAAGTTGGGGAGTTCCTGTGGGCACCACCTTTGACTTTCTCTCCCAGAAGAGGAGCTGAGAGAGGGGCTTCCTTGTTCACAAGCCACTGCCTGGGTCAGCAGGGTCCACGACCACAGGCCACAGGGGCACAGCCTCCCAGTCCCGGCCCAGGTCTCCTCCAGGGAATTTACTCTGCAATTGTAAATATTTGCTGCTGTCGGCTTGAGCCAGGGGCTTGGGTCAGGGCCGGGACTGGGAGCTCCAAGAACCCTCTAGCAGGCCACCGGGAAGCTTCAGTCTATGACTCGCCTGGACTCTTCTTTGGGGTAAAATGAGGTTCCCATTCATTTCCTGTGCACCCACTTTATGCCAGGCCTATGCCAGGCACAGGAGACACAAGAGTAGAGGTGGCAGAGCGGGGGCCACCAGAGCCAGGCAGGAGCTCCAAGAAAGTCACAGGCAGAGGGGACAGCCGCTGCCTAGGACGTGGAGTGGGAGAAAAGGCCAGTGGGGGCTGGGGGCAGAATGGAGAGAGGGCAAGGCTAGGGTGGCTGGGAGGGCGGAGAGGGCAGCTGCCCGGCTGGGGGTGCTGGGCCAGGAGCCTGGGCCAGGAGCTGGGAGCGGGGCCGCCGGGCTTCCTAGGCAGCAGCGGGGTGAATGTAGCAGACGCAGTGTTTAGTCCAAGGACTCCGGCCCGCAGAGTAAAGCACAGGCGTGGCACCCGGTTAGTGTGTGAAAGACGGTGAAGAGCCCGAGGCTCGAGAAGGGCCCCGCCTGGAAACTCCAATCTGCTCTTTAAAAAAAATTTATTTAGTTATTTATGTATTTTTAGAGAGAGAGGAAGGGAAGGAGAAAGAGAGGGAGAGGAACATCAATGTGTGGTTGCCTCTCGTGTGCCCCCAACTGGGGACCTGGCCCACAACCCAGGCATGTGCCCTGACTGGGAATCCAACCAGAGACTCTTTGGTTCTCAGGTCTGCACTCAATCCACTGAGCCACACCAGCCAGGCAATCTGTAAAATCATGTAAAATCTGCTCTTAAGATTTTAAAAAAGTTTGTTTTTTTGAGAGAGAAGGGAGGGAGAAAGAGCGGGAGAGAAACATCAATGTGAGAGAGAAACATTGATTGATTGCTTCTCACACACCCCCTAGCCAGGTCTGAACCCACAACCCAGGCATGTGCCCCAACCAGGAATCAAACCTGTGATCTTTCGCTTTTTGTGATGACACCCAACCGAGCCACACCAGTCAGAGCCACGCTTAGACTTTTTTGCTGTGCGACTTTGGGCAAACGTCTTCCCTCTCTGGTTCCCCATCGTGGACGACAAGGGCCGTGGGGCTCCGTGGACAGGGAAGGTACGTGTGCGGTGAGCACAGTGGGACTGAGGGGGAACACAGGCAGCCGGGCTCCAGGGGGGCCCATGGGAGAGGAGGGGTAGGGAGCCCCCAGCCCCTCTGTCCTTCTGTCTGGGAGGGCGGGGGCTGACACTGGCTTCTGGCAGCCCCGTGGTGCCCCAAATGTCCGAGCACACTCCTCCTCCTGGAAGGCCTCAGCCAGCACTGCTGCAGGAGAAAGATCTTGGCTCTGGGTCAGACCGATGGACGCTGAAGCCCACTCTGACCCTGAGCGGGGCGTTCCCCTCTCCCAGCCTCGGCTTCCACACCTGGGCTCTCTGCACTGTGGCGTGACGGCATGATGCACGTGGGCACAAGTCACAGTCCTCGGCATGGAGGACGGCAGCAACCTTCTTTCCCCTCGTCCTTATTACTGTCAGGGGGCCTGAGGCTGGGGGATGCTGCAGACCTCAGGTCGGAGCCCTGCGGAGAATCCTGGCCACGACGCTTACTTGCTGTGTGACCTTGTGCGAGACCCACACCCTCTCTGAGCCTCTTGTCTGAACCATGGGGCCGATGGGAAAGAGATCCGTCTGCAGAGAGCCCCTAGAGGCACGGTGACATGGCGGCCACAGCAGAGCTCACCAGCCCAGGCCACTCAGCAGGTTGGGACCAGCCTGCATAGTACATTTTGGCCTTGGTTTTCCTTGCCCGTTTTTTCTGGAGGAGCGGGCAGCCAGGGGAGAGCCTCGCCTCCGGGCTCCCTCGCTGCCACCCAGCCCCACCTCTAAGACCTGGAGGCACTGACCGGTGCTTGGTCAGGCAGGTCCCAGTCCGGTTTTCCTGGGCTGGGTAGCCCCGGGCCAGCCCCTTCACCTCTCTGAGCCTCAGTTTCCCCACCTGGAAAATGGGCTGTCATGAACATCAAAGAGACCATCCTCCGCATCACCGGGAACATTCCCATTGTGCAGATGGGAAAACCAGGGCTGAGCGCCTTGAGGTCCACGGCCTCATGGTTAAGTCTGGAGACTTGAGGCCTGTTTACTGAGCAGCCAGCGGAGAAGTAGAGTCTCAGAGCTGGGAGGCAGGGCAGTTCCTGAGAGCCGCCACAGGACCGCCGGCACAGGGGTGGAAGAGAGGAGGATGACATTTACGGAGCATCTGCTATGGGCAGGGCGTGAGCCTCTGGTCCTCTTAATGAGGTACGAGGTGGGTACTTTTCGGTCTCAGGTGATTTCCAGACAGAGATGGAGCTCAGAGAGGTGGAGTGACTTGTCCCAGGCGACACAGCAGAGTGCGACTGATCCAGGGCCAGAGTTTGGAATGGGGGGCGTTCCCTCTCCTTCAGCTCATCACGGGCTGCTCTGAGCCCTGTCACCCCTGGTGACGCAGCTCCATGGCCCCAAGGTCATATCACAGCACTGTGTAGACCACGAGGGCAGTGACCAGCAGGGGAAACAGCTGGGGGAGCCAGGCCTGGACCTGGTCGTCAGAGGAAGGGCAGGGCCCAGATGAGCCAGGAATGTCCCCATGCCTCCTCTCCCCCACTCTCAGGGCGCCAGCGGAGCAGTTTTCCAGAATATCCAGCCCCGGGGCCGGGGCACCCTTTACTCAGCTCCTGCCCTGTGGGTGGGGAGAAGCTGGCCCTTCTTGTCCAATCCAACACCGCCAGTGCCCACCAGGGGCCCCCACGCCATCTGCAGGGTCTTTACTGCCCACCCCCACCCCGAGGCAGACTGTTAGCCCGCCCACTTCACAGGTGAGGACGCTGAGGCTCAGTGCAGGGCACCAGATGCTGCCAGAGCAGCTTGGCACCCTTTAGAGAAGGCGCCCCTCCCTCTCTGTGGGCAGGAGCCGAGTGCGGCTTGAACTGCAGCCTCCCCGCCCCCCAGACGGGCCCTTGACAATGACTTGCACAGGGAGTCCCTGGCCCAAGGCCACACAGCTGGTGTGGGGTAGAGCGGGCCTGGACCATGGGGCCCGGGATAACCCCGCGCCCAAGCTGGGGCCCGAAGGCCCTACAGAAGGAGCTGGCAGGCATCAGGGTTGGCCTGGCGGGTCCGTCCGGTGTGGTACTCCTTCCTCACCATCGGCGGGCGGAGAGCTCCCTGCCCTGAGCCTGGTGCTTGGGCGCGTGGCCTCCAGCTGCCAGACTCACGGGTGACGGTGCTGCTGCTACCTGTCCTCTGTCCTTACCCCCTCCATGCTGGCTCCCCACATCCGGGAAGGTCTGCCCTTGGGAGGGGGGCTAGGGTCAGAGTGGTCTTTGCCTGCAGGCCCTGCCTAGGCTCAGGCCCTTTGGGCCCAGGTGGCCACCCCGAGGACTTGCTCCCTCCCCACCAGCTCCTCCGAGGCCTCTTTGGCAGCAGCCCCTCCTGGCAGGCTCTCCTCTCGGCCCCCAGGGACCTGCCTTCCCTCTTCCTCCTACCAGGGAGGGGAGGGCGCTGTTCCTGGCTCCCCTTCCAGCCTGCCCCTCCCAGCCTCCCACACTGGCCTTGGAGGCTGTCTCTCCGCACAGGACCCCTGCTGGGCTGCGGGCTCCTCCCCAGTGCCACTGAGGACCCACCAGGCCCCTCCCTGCCCCACTGGGCGGTGGGCTCTGCTTTCGACCCCACGTGACCGTGAGCATTCCTTCCACTCCAGGTCTCTGGGCCTCTGCTGCCCGCTCTGTGAACCGCCCGCTCTGTGAACCGGGTCTGCGGCAGGGTCCCGGGGAGGTGAAGCATGTAAATCTTTCCAGAAGCATCCATGAATGGTGACTTCTGTGAGCATCACATTCCCGTGATTTGGAGGCCGCGTTACTCACGCTCGTGTTTCTGGCATCAGACTACGCCTTGCAGCTGACATTCACATCGACCGGCTGCTCCGGGGCCCTGAACGGTCTTTCTACTGCGGTGCCTACAAGCCTGGTTCTCAGGCGGGTTCTAGGCCAGTCTGTCCTCTTCAGAGCCGTTCTCCTAGCAGAGCCCTTGGTGCCCAAAACCTTCCTCTCACTGGGCTCAGCCAAGCAGCAGGGGTGGGAGTGGCCTGGGCCACTTAGCAGGAAAGGTCTCGCCCGGCGACCGTGTGGCCAGGCTCCTGGGGAGCCCGGGCTGCCTCCTCTGTGACTGTGCTGGGTGCTCAGCCCTGAGCCACCCTGGGGGCACGCAGAGAAGTGGGGTGGGCTGAGCAGGGTCGCCCTGCCTGGGACACAAGCCCCACATGTGACGCCCATCGGAGCCCCCCCATCCCTGAGGCCCTCGGGGGAGCCAGGCAGACCAAGGTTCCAAAGCGGATGCCACTTAGGAGCCATGTGACCATCGCCTGCCTGAGCCTCCATCTCCTCTACTGCAGTAGGGGTGACCTCGCTGACCCACTGGCCTAAGTGGCACTTTGCTTCCATGAGCTGTTACCTTGGCCCAGGGAAATGCTGAGCTCCTCCGCGTCTGGAGGAAAGGCTTGGGATGGTGTGACTTAAGACGTGAGCCACAGAGCATGTATCACATTTCTCCAGGGGTCCTGAGAGCCTCCCTCCAGGCAGGCCGACACCCATGGGGCAGCGGGCGCCCACTGTGTTGGAGCCATGCCTCGCTGGCAGCTCCGTGCAGGGGGACGCAGTGTGCAAGGGACTGCACGCTCCAGTGTCTACCAACTCAGCAGCAGTCTGCTGCTCCCTCCCACACACCCTCGGGCTCGCATGTGGCCCAAACCTGGGGCAGTCCTACCTTCCTCGCAGCTAGCCCCTGAGTGCCCGGGGCAGCACCTCCACTCCCGGGCGGTCACTGTCTTGTACATCACCTTGTATGTGGGTCTCACCACGGTTCTGTAGCTGAAAGAGTGACCAGGTAGCCCAGCTCAGACACGGTCCTCTGCTGTTTCTCCCACTCCTCCGTGGGGACAAACCCAGAGCCCCCAGGGTCTTCTGCCCCCCTCCGGGCCCCTTCGGAGCCTCTCTCCTCCTGCACTCTAGGATTCGGCCCTTCTATCCCTTCCCAACATTCCAGCCTTGGGGATCCGGGTACCAATTGGACAGGAAGCCCCTGCAAGTTGAGCCAGCCTGTCCCTAGCCATAAATGCTCACTGAGTGAAGGCATGTGAATGAGTGATGGAACTCCTCCCCCAGGAAGCCCTCCAGGGTGCCCCGAGAACCCAAGAGGAGGTGCTAAGAGTGGGCAAAGGGCCAATGCTCCCTTTGCTCCACTACCCTGGGTCCCAGCCTTTCCCTGCACACCCAGGGCACTCCCACCACCAGGCCTTTGCCCATGCTATGCCTCCACCTGTGAGGCCATCAGCTCCTTTTCCCCATGGGCTCACTCACCTGTTCCCCGGGCAGCTCATAGGCCAGGGGCAGTTCTGCAGCACTCGCTGAAGGTATGTGCCATTTTGCACATGGCAGGAGATGGTGCGGGTCACCACGTATGAGCACCAGTTCCTGAAACAGGCCCAAGGGGAGGAGCTCAGGTGCTACACACAGCCTCCTGCCCGGGACCCCCGCAGGGTGAGGGCGGAGGGCTGGGTTCTCTCCAGGGTCCCCGAGGCTCCAGGCAGACAGACCCCTGAGCTCTCAGTCCTCAGGGCCCCAGTGGGAGTCTCCGTGCTGCTGTGGCTGAGGGGTGAATTCCACAGCCCTAGAGTGGGTGGCCGTGCGGGGGGGCTCTCAGGAGGTCTTGGGGAGTGAGCTTCGGGGGACAAGATGGGAACGGGGCACCTTTGAAGGGCCTCTCCCTTCTCAACATCTCTCCCCTCAACCCGGACCCCGTCCAGACCACCCTCGCCTCCCACCTCCCACCGGGACCCAGCAGGGACCCCTCCATCTTGCCTTCGGTCTCTCCCGGGAGGGAGTGTAGTGCAATGGAAGCCTGGCCTCGCCTCCTCCACCCTCAGCGCTTTAGAGATCTCGTGCCCCGTCTGCCGTGGGCCCCTCGCCGCCAGGCCCTTGCTCAGGCTGAGGCCCTGCCTGCTGCGCCCTTCCTCCACTGCTCCACGGGCACCTCCTCCCCTCAAAGCTCTGCTGCCCGCTGCGCCGCTCCCCTGTCTTCCCACCTCCACCTCCACCTCCACCTCAGCAGCACTGCTGGGCCCTGCCCTGGGTCCTGCAGCCATCGGTCCACCTGTCCTGGGGATTCACGTCCGCACCTCCCCCGCCCCCGCTCAGGCCCTGTGTCACTTATCATCCTCGTGCCCCCTCTGTGTGACAGCTGTGACGTGCAGTGTCCCAAGCATGGAGGACTGACTTCTCCAAATGTTAACTAATAATCACAGTGCACTGCACATATTGGGCACCTACTGTATGCTAGGGGGATTTACGTCATCTTCCCTCAGTGATCCGGGAAAGCAACCCCATTTTACAGAGGGGTAAATTGAGGCTCAGGGAGGGTGAAAATGCTCACGTCACAGAGCTGGTGCACAGTGGAGCGGATTTGAACCCAGCTATACAGATGGCCCGGGTTGGCCCCTAACTCCGTCTCTAAGGCCTCCTCTGTCTTCCCTCTGTCTCCTGAGTCACAAGGCCGCAGCTCCGTGAAGGCCCCAGCCTGGGAACTTGCTGACCCCGGGCTCCGGGCCACAGAGGAGAGCCACAAAGGGCTCAGGCTGAGAAGGGTCACCTGAAACGGTCCCTCTTTTCCCAGCCCCGGCAAAACACACAGAGCCGGTGACCCCATGCTGGGCCGAGGGCCACTGAGCACCTGGAATGTCCCGGCTGTCACAGAGGTGCCTGCCACCACTGAAACCCAGCCCCACAACGGCTGCCCCGCCCCCGCCCAGGCCCACCTGAAGAAGCACAGCCTTGGCTGGGACCAGTCTACCAGCTTGAGGTGTGACCCTGGGGAAGCCCCTTTGCTGCTGCATGTCCGGCTGGAACTGGTCCGGGAGGAGGGAACAGTCTAGCCAAAGGCGTTGAGGCGAGAAGGCAGGGAGGAGGGATGGCTGATGTGGCGGGAGCTCAACAGAGCCCTGGGCCGGCCGCCCCGCGGAGGAGGTGGAGGGTGCTCGGGGCAGTGCCGTCGGGAATGGCGCAGCCTGGGAACAGCCTGAACAGGACCACTGGACACGGATGCTGGGAAAGAGCCCGAGGTCTCCCTGGGACGACCACTAAGCCTAGGTACGGGGGAACAGCCCGTGCAGACCACCAGCGAAAGACTGCATTCCTATTACACTAAGACAGAAAGCCGAAGACCGTGTGCACACGTGTGCGCACGTATAGCCGTGTGTGTGTGAAGTTGGGGGAAGCTCATGCTCACATCAAACTGCCACCCCTGGGGGCCCCGAGGGGCCTTCCCGAGGTTCCACCGCCTGCACTCACAGCGGCCTCTGGTCCTGCTTGCCGTGTGCCGAGAGCTGGGCACTGGGCCTCCGCTGCCCGGCTGTAAGTGCTATGGACAGAGGGGAGGGCTGGGGCCCCGGGGTCCGGATGGACCCTGCACGCCCTTGGGGAGTGACCCGGTCACGGTGGGAACTCAGGCCTGTCTGCCCCCCGAGTTTGTGTTCTTAACCTTATGCTGGAAGAGATTTTCCTGATGAGCAGGTGGGGATTTGTATAAGTTTAATAGATACTGTAGGGCCCTCGGAGCTGTGGTTTTCAACCTGCTGGGGTTTTGTTTGGGAAAGTGGTGTGCATTGTGGTTCCTCCCCAGAAAAATGCACAAAACTTGGGGCACAAGTTCAGGGGGACTCAGGGGCTCCCTGCAGTCTGTGAAGACCCCCTGGCTGGCCCAGGGACATTGTGAGGGAAGGAAGGTGGGAGGGAGGGAGGACCCTGGGCAGCAACAGAAGCTCCAGACGCAGGGGGGGCCCTGGGCACAGAATGAAGGCTGTGGGCCAGGGGACAGACGCACACTCACAGCACATGCGTGCAGGCACACACTTCAGTGTGTGCACACAGTGAGCACAAGGCACAGTGAGCACAGACACACTCGCACGCGCTTATGTGCACACAACTCCCAGACACACACAGACCCCTCCCAGGACACACACACGCTCGGGGACATGGTCGGACCGAAGCAAACCCCATGGAAGTGACTGTCCTCTTTGCACCAGGGCGCACGCCTGCACACACAGGGCTGTGCACCTTCGCACACGCGCCTGGACCGTGCTGGGGGACACGGGCCTGTGACTGCCCACAGCTGCCCAGGCCGCCCCTCTTTGGGGAGCCAGAGAAAACAATTTTTTCTTTTTCCTTAATTAAAACCTCCCCCTGGTAGGTTGCTGCATGGCTCCATGGTTCATTTCCCACGAGTCGGAGTTTGCTTGAGTCCTCTGCTCAAGAGACAGGGAGCCGGTGGACAGCTGGCCAGACATTGTACATGGGAGGGGACACTCAGGCCAGGGGGGACACGAGGTTGGCCCTTGGTCCCCTCCTCCTGGCCTTGAAGACCCCAAACCTGTTGCCCCCAGGGTAAACCCGAGCTCCCTCACAGGGTCCCAGCCTGGCCCCCTGCCCGTCTGCCCGTCCTGGTCCACTTTCCAGAAGCAGCAGAGGCTCTTGTAGAGCACAGACCTAACGGTGCCGCTGCCCGTGGTGGACTTGCTGCCGTGTGAGCCCTGACCGCTCTGCCTTACGGGCTGCCCCTCCCGCTGCCCTCTGACCTTCCTGCCCTCCCTCCCACCTGCTGCATTCTCCCACACCTCAGGCCTTTGCACACTAGATTCTCTCTGCCTGGGAAGCCCTCCTCCTGCTCCCACAAACTCCAGTTCGTCAGTGGCGTCTCGGTCCTGAGGACCCCAGCAGAACTAGGCCCCTCCAGGGGCCACAGCAGCCCTGAGCATCTGGGGGAAGGACATTGTACCACGGCAGGACGGGGTTCAGCCTGAGGGTGCTCAGAGAGGTTTGCTGAATGACTGAGAGCCATGGCCCTGGGCGGAGGGGCCAGGACCCAGGTTCCCAGAGCCTGGAAACCCTGCCTCAATCCTGCTGCCCCTGGGGGCTTCCTTTCCTGGGCGGTGGTAGGTGATGAGCTGCCCAAGAACCTGGTGAGGCTGGGCCACCTCTGGTGGGATGGGGCAAGGGCAGGGGCCGGGAGGAGGCAGCCCTTCTCTCCTGGGCCTGCCACTTCTGCCCGCTCAGCACCTTCTGGGCCACTGGGGGAAGGAAAACAGGCCAGACCAGCTCAGCCTGGCACCAGCTGTCCCACTGGTCCCCCCTCGCCCGCCCCCAACTTGCCCTCCACCTCCTGCCATGAGGGGCCCAGGGGACTTTGTCTCTGTGGGGCCCAGGGCTGCGATCCGGAACAGTGATAGGGACTAATTGCAGGAGGCAGCCAAGCGGGCTGGGGGCCAAGGGCCGTTATGAAAGGGAGAGGAAAGAAAGGGGACCTACCGGGTGGGGGTGGGGTGACTACAGCGAGAACCCCACACTGGAGGCGAAGTTCTCGTCCTAGCTCTGCTGCTTCCTAACTCGGTGACCTTGGACAAGGCCCTGACCCTCTCTGGGCCTCACTCTGTCCATCTGCAAATGGGGACAGCAGATGTTCCTCTGCGGAGGTCTCACACAAAGTGCTTAGCACAGTGCTAACAGCTATTGGTAATTCTTGTTCCTGCACTACTACGACGACATGGCCCTCCAGCCCATGGCTATAGCCCGGGGCCTTCCCTGGGGCCTGGGGACACCAGCACAGTGTCTTCCACACAGAGCCCTCCCCATGGCTGCAGGGCAGGCACTGTCAGGCTCTACATTTCACAGAGGGGGAGACTGAGGCTCCGAGAGGGGTCACCTCCCCAGGACACCCATGTGGGTGTGGTGCTGGGTCTGAGAGCCCTGGGGAGGGGCTGGGAAGGGGATTCCTCAGTCTCCTCCATCCCAGCACTTGCCCCCAGGAAGCTGGGACTGCAGCGGGAGTTGGCCTGGGCCGGGACACTGGTGACGGCTTTAACCCTAGATGAGGGTTCAGGCCGGAAGGGACCTCCGAGGGGCAGGAAGCAGTCCCAGCAGGGATGGGGGGACAGACAGGGGTAGAGGTGAGCCAGGCAGCTCTGCACGGCCCTGAGGCACCCTCATTCTGGGGTCTCAAAGTCTCACCACATTCCTGGGGCTGGGGGCGGCCCCTTGGATGCCTTCCCAGGCCCCCCCTCCCCAGACACAAAGCCTCTTTTCTGCCTCTTGTCCCTTGGCTGCCAAGGGGCGCCTGGGGCGCCGGGCCGGGGGTGGAGGGAGGGCGGATGGGGCGAGACATCCCCGTGCTGTCTCCAGCGACGCTGGGATGAGGCCACAAGGGGAAGTCCTGGCAGCCACGGACTACAGATTCCTCCGGCTCAGGGTCCCTTCCCCCACCTAGTGCTGGTGGTGGCAGGGACCTCCTGCTATATGGTGGGACCCGAGCTGGTCCTTCCCATGGGGACAGGAGAGAGGGAGACAGTGAGGAAGCTGAGAAGGAAAGCGAGACCCAGGGCTGCGAAGTGACCTCCCTGTCACATGCTCAGTGTGGGGGATGGGGAGAGCCAGGGCCAGAACCCTAACCACGACCTGCAGAGCTTTCCCAAGCCTGGAAACTGGCGGCTCTGCTAGGCTGGGAAGGACACTGGGATTGGGAGCTGGCCGGCCTGGGCCAAGGAGCCTCTGGTCCTTTCAGGCCTCGGTTTTTATCTAGGGGCCAATGGCAATGCCCCCAGGGTGCCTGTGATGCTCGGGCCACTGTGAGCTGTGGTGAACACACAGGGTGACAGTCTCCAGTGACCACCAGAAAATTGCCCACAGCCACCGTCCTGCTGCCACCCAGGAAGCCCTGGGGGCGAGGGACCCAGGCTGGCAGGCCCTGTCCTGGACCAGCGGGACGGCGGGAGGGCAGGCTGGGCCTTACGTCCTCTCGGCCCTCACCCCAACCCCGACAACGAGAATGCCCAGGTCAGAGTCTCGGTCATCTCAGCAGCTGGGATCCCAGGGGGTTCACATCCGAGTCCTGGGCAGGTCACATCCCCCCTTGAGCCTCAGTTTCCCCCTCCATGAATAGGGCACCACAGAAACGCATGCCTCCCGAGGCAGTCGGAAAGGTTCGGGAGGCGCTGGACGCAGGTGAAATGCCCAGTACAGGCCAGCGGCAGTCGCCAGACAGCAGGTGGCGGCTGTGACGTCTGCCGCCTGTCCGTCCATCCCTGTCTCAGAAGACAGGTCTTCCGGCCTCTGAGCCTCAGCCACCTTTCCCCTCCAGCCCCGCTCGGGTCCCCTGCTCTTGCCAGCCCCGCGCGGACACGCTAGCCCACAACCACGGAGCGAGGAGAACTTCTGAAAGAATCAGAGAAGTGAGGCCATAGCGGGTGGGGCCGGGCAGGCGTTCCAACGTGAAGAAAAGGCCAGGGGAGGCCTCGCTGCTCTCCGTCGCCTGGCTGGCTGGCCGGCCCTTCCGTGGGGACCCCAGCAGAGGCAGGGGCTGCAGCCAGGACAGTGCCAGGCAGGCTCCCACGGTGTCATCAAGGCCAGGAAGACACGGATTGGAACCCCAGCTCTCCTGTTAATGGCCCACAAGCCTAGAGGATTGTGTCCGTTTTCTGGGGCTTCAGTTTGCTCATCTGCCAAGTGGGAACAAGTGTCCCAGAGCCTCTTTCAGTCCTTGAAGGACTAAAGAGGACACTGCCTGTGAAGGGACCCTCACTGGTCCTGGAAGATGCTCCGCAAACGCCAGCAGAGAGAAGGCTCCAGGCTCAGGAGAGAGCGGCGGAAGAGTAGCCCTCCTATCTCTGTCCAAAAATGCCAGGTCCCTGGGGGCCGACACTAACCCGGGGGCATTGAAACTCCACCCCTGCCTCTTTCCTCCCGGTGAAATAAATAGCCGGTACTAAAAAAAGCCAGGAGCAAGGAAAAGGGAGGAGAGTCCTCGAAGTGTCAGCTAGGGGATGTCCGGGGCTCTCCTAACTGTGGGGCGGGTGGGGGGCGGAGGCTTGGGCTAAGGGGACCAAAATCCTGCGGGAGGCGGTGGTTGTCCCCGTTGCTCCCTGTCCCCCTCCTCTGGGGCTCTGGGGGTGAAATGGTGGGGGGATGGAGGAGGCTGTCAGGGAGGGGGCGCTGCCGGCTCCAGACACACGGAGTAGAGGACCTCAGCACTTCTGGGAGCCTCTGCCACATAGTGGGGCGAGCCAGGGTCCCTGCCCCCACCCGGGCTGGCACTGCGGTGGGGGACCAGGGTCCTTTCCCAGTTCAGGGCTTGCACGAAGGTTGCGGGGGGCGGAGGGAGGCAGGGAGTGCCTGGAGTCCCGGCCCCCCACCCCAGGCTGGCAGGGCACAGAAGTAAGAGGCGGTGGGGGCCAGCCCTTACCTGCGTCCGGAGAACGGGGCTCCCCCGACGCTCCAGGCAGCGCTGCCCCCCGGGAGCAGGAGCCCGAGGCAGAACAGAGCCCAGGCCCGCGGGCCGCCCATGCTGCGCCCGGCGCCCTCCGCGCGCGGCCCCTCGCCGTCGCCGCCCCCAGCCTGCCGTCCACGCCCGCTCGCGCCGCCAGCCGCCCCGGACGCGCGGATCCCGGTTCCCAGCGCTGCGGCGGGAGGGCGGGAGGGAGGCGGGCGCGGGGCGGAGGCGCGCATCCCGGCCTCGCCCGGCCCCTCGGCGCGGCCCCCCGCCCCCTGCGCCGCCGCTGCCAACCCGGAAGGAGCCCCGGGGGGGCGGGCGTCCCCGCCGGGAGGCCCGTCAGGTGCCCACCTGATCCCGGCGCTGGGCGCCGCGTGCTCCTTTGGGTGCGGGGTGCCAGTTCGGAGACGCCCTCCCACGTGTTGCAGACGGAGGGGCTGCGTCCCGGGCGGCGGTCTCAGAGCCCTCTTAGTCACATCCAAGGGCAGAGGCTGCCAAGCCTGAGCTAATGATGGGGGAGCCTCATCCCCCCCTTTTTTTTTGAGGGATCTAGTTCCTGAGGCACGTGGGATCGGCCATCCATGCAACAAAGGCTTCCTGAGCAGTGAGCACCGCGGCGTGCAGGACACCTCACCTCCGCCCTACATCCTGTTCAGTTTAACCTGCCAACTCCCCTGGGAGACGTGGGCACAATTATCCCCATTTCCTAGAAAGGAAAACAGAGGCCCAGGCACCTAGGGTCTCCCTGGAAGGACAAGTCCTGGGTTAATCCCATAAGGCCAGTGTCCACTCCTCCCTGTATTACAGATGGAGAAACTGAGGCACAGCAAGACAACATCATTTGCCTAAAGCCCTTCCTCGGCGGTTGGAAGAGCTTGGTTTTGAACAGAAATCTCCTGACTTCAGAGGGGGTCCGTCCGCTCTTAAGCATAGTTCCGGAAGAGAGCAGGTTGGTCTGGGGCCCACATTTCCCATCTGTGACAAGGTAAAGGCTGGCTGAGAGCGGAGTTCCTTCATCTGGGGTGCCCCGGTGAGCCAGCCTCTGGGGAGAGGGCTGTGAACACCAGGTGCAAGCGAACATGTGTTTGTGGTGCGTGTGAGTGTGCAGGGATGATGGGTGTGTGTGCTCACGGGGCAGGACCACCGCTCTCATCAGAGGGGACCCCGAATCCTCTGAAACTCTAGGATGGCCTCTAACCCCCTTCTGCCTGGAGTGCGGCGCAGCAGTTGGTCCGGGGCTGGGGAGCCCCTGTCCAGCTTGGTGGTGCAGCGGGGGCCTGTCCCTCAGAACCCTGCCCTGGGTTTGTCCAGATCCCAGATCTCTGCTAGGAACGTGCCAGCGGGAAGGGCCTGCCAGCCCCACCTCTGAGCTTGGAGGACTGCCTCTCCTGGACGCACCAGGGCTGGGGGCACCAGCTGCCAGGGCCCGAGTCAGCGCCAGCCGGGGTGTGCTGACACTGAGGGAGCTGACCCTGTCTCCCCCAGCTGACCAGGGGGCGGGTCAGCGGTGAGAGCTGGGCTCCAACCCAGCCTCTGCCACCTCTGCTGGAGTCAGCTTGGGCGGCCCCGCCCTTCCCTGAGCCTCAGAGTCTCTTTGTAAGGAGCACAGTCGCTCGTCCCCTAGGGGGCTGTGGGCAGGAATGAGATGTCACGGCTGTGCCCTGGCACCCACCTTCCTCTGCTTCACACGGTCCCCCTAGGGCAGCCCACGTGCTCCAATGACATCATCACGGTGCCAACTTTGCCCCTCTGGGAAGCTCCCTCCCTCCCCTCCACGTGCGATTTTGGGGCACCTACTCTGTGCCACCTATGTGACCCCCCAGGAAATGCGGCTTTGTGCCTCTCTGGTTAGCCCTTGTTTGTGACACAACTAGATCAGTGACTTAATCCCTTGGGCAACTTGTCATTCTCGAGGGGCCATCTCCTGAGAGGCTCCCAGGCCCGTCCTCATTCGGGTCGAGTGGCTGCGATCAAAATCCATCTTTCCCAAGGGCACCCCGAGGGGCATGCAGCTCTTCAGGAAGGGGAAGAGCTGGGCAGTGGCCCCTGTCCCGGGGAGGGCTTTGGAGGGCCTGTGAGGTGACTGGGTGCTCTGACGGGTGCCGCAGAGTGAGGAGGCAGCGCCGGGGCTGTCTGCAGCATGTCCGAGATGGTCCTGTGATTGATGTCCTGTGATTGATGGCATCTCATCCCTTTCCCACCGAGATCACGGCAGCTTCGGGCCACTGTGGACTTTCTCCACCAAGGGACCCTCTCGGTGAAAGCCGTTACCAACATTTTGACATCAGAAGGGACCCACTCCTTGCTGAGGCAGGGACCCCTTTGGCCGGGCCATTTATTTATGGCTACAGTCACACCCCGTAACAGTGTAGCCTGCTGGTTACTGCACAGGCTCAGTACCCCACGGGCCTCGATGTCCATTCCTGTGTGACTTGGGACAAGATATGTCCCTCTCTGAGCCTCATTTCCTTGCCTGAAAAAGTAAGTCCTAGGACCTTTTTAAGATTCTTCTGTCTCAAGAGTTCATGCTTCTGGGAAAATATGAGGACTTTGGGTCTTCCTACAGGCACAACCCAAAGCCCTCCGTTTTTATGGTGTATTTTTTCCATTACCATTTAGTCCCCTTACATCCCACTCCTCCCTCCCCCGAGCTCCCTTTAAGGGCAAACTTTCCTGGTGACTGTCAGCCTGTTTCCTGGTCTTCTCCCCTCCCTGAGCAGGAAGGGCAGGAAATGCTGCCGGGACCTGGGTCTTGCTCACTTGAGGTTTCAGTATTTGCTGAGACCAAGCTGTGGAGCTGCTGGCTTGAGGTCCCAGGCCTGTCCCTGTGGGCGGGACCTCCGCCCCAGGGGCTGGTCCCCTCCGCTGCCAAGACCAGACCACAACCGCTGGTAAGGACAGCAGCTTCCGGTGGGAGCTCTGACTGTGCCAGGTGCTGCGCTAAGCATTTTGCTTGCTTTGTCCCCTGCCCTGATCTCCACCACCCATGGGGGCGGGGTGGGCCTTTTTGCCCGTCCCCCAGGTGTGGGGCTTGCCCCAGGTGCCCAGCTGGTGAGTGATGGCTACCCAGTAGGCCACACTGCCGCCCTCTGGCTGAGCCCTTCCTTCAGTGGGACGTCTTTGGGGGAAAAAATGAAAACTCATTTCAGATTTAGGCTCCCGTCTGGGAGCTGATGAGGTGAGAGAGCACACAGGGACCACACAGGGACACGGGCTGGGACACATGTATGCGTATGCACGCACTCCCACAGGCACCCCCTCCCCAGCAGGCCTCCTGGTTGGACTCACTGGCACGTCCACCCTGCCCTAGTCCAAACAGGAAATGCTGTTCTCCCACAGCAAACAAACCTGGCTCCCGGCCTCCTTTCCCTGTCACCTCCCACGGGGCTCACACCAAGTGCCTCCTTCCTGTGCCTGTCTCCCACCGGACAGCGGCCCCAGCTCGGGTCCTGTTTACGCACCGGTTTGTGTGAGCGTGGGCCCTCCACTGGCTCTGCACCCGGTTCGAGCCCATTCTGTCGGTGAGGACGCAGGCCACGGGGGCCCAGCCTTGCCCAGAGTGCATGGCGGCAGCCCCCAGCGACCCAGAGCCTGTGGCAGCAGCCCTGGATGTCACGAAAGGGAAGGGGCCATGTCAACCCAGTGGCCTTCAAAGCCTCTGCCCAGACAAAGAGCCGGGCAGAGGGCGGGGCCTTCCCCATGCTTCCAGGTTGGGGAACAATGCCCCTTTCTGTGCCTTTGATCTGGAGGCCTGGCCCCGCTGCCCCTCTGTCACAGAGCAGGGGCACCCTGTTGGGCCCGAGTGGGGTTACTGGGGGACCCAGAGAGCCTGCAGCTGCCTGGCCAAGTTATTTATGCCTCATGGAGCTGCCCTTCTCACCCAACTCATTCCTTCGCCACGGAGCTGGGACTGGGGCTGGAGGGGAGTGAAGAGAGGAAGGAAGCTGCTGGAAAGTCATAAATTAGGGCTCTGAGAGGGCCTTCCTGCCTCCTCAAGAGTCCTCTGGAGGAGAAGCCTGCACCTTTGGGTGGGGGGAGGACAACAGAATGACAAGGCAGGGACGAGCAAGCGTGGCAGGCAGGGCGCCTGCATTTGGGGTTAGGAGACCCACATGTTCAGGATGACCTAGAGTGAGTCCCTTCTCTCCAGGCCTCAGTCCCCCCATCTGGAATATGGGGTGATACAGGACTTGGGGACTTTCCTGTGACCATGTAGGAATGGACAAATGAGAGGCCTTCTCCTTAAGGTTCGTCCCACTTCCCTTCCTCTTGTCCCTTCCCCCAAATCCCCTCCTTTCTGCCCCATTTACCTTTGTTGGGATCCCTTACTCTGGTTCTCTTTCCACACCTCCCCTCCTGAGAAAATGGACTAATGAAGTCTCCTTAGGCAGCGTCTACCTAGCTGGAGATAGAGGGAGAAGCTGTTGGTTCATTCATACTAGAGTGCTCATGACTGATACAGTTAATGTGGTTAAATGTCAGGAGGCAGTTAACAGGGATTCTTCTTCATTTAAGGCCTAAATCACTAATAGTGGAACTTCTAGGCTGATAAGGGGGGGTGCTTGTTGAGCAAAGGTCTAGGAACCAGATTTGCCAAGGGAGATGACCTTCTGTGTGGGAAGGTGCCCATCTCCACACCCCTGTGAGGTGAAACACACCCTCTGCTGGACACATCTGAAATGGGGCCCAAAAGTCACTGTGGGTCGGATGGGTCTGGCAGGTGTGAAGGGCAGGCAAGAGGGGCTACTCAGCAAAGAGACCGTCCAGCAGCCCACCTGCCCTGCACACATCAGGAGGTCCTGCTGAGCCGGGAGCACCTGGGCCTACCCCACCTGACACCCCCGATGGGAATGGTTGCCCCCTCTGAGGAGGTGGCTCTGAGGGGGAGGAGGGGGATGAGAGGAGTAGAGAGGGGGTGGATCCAGGGAGAGATACAGAGATACCCAGAGTGGAAAGAGGGCCAGCAAGCCAGAGATAGAGTGATGCAAGTGGGTCGAAGAGATGGAGAAAGAGACGGGGAAAGACATGCAGAGAGACAGACACTGAGAGAAAGGCGCTTTGGGAAGAGGACCCCAGGCTGTGGGTCTCCACATCTGTGGGAGCTGGGCAGAGGGGCCACACCAGGGCGCCAGTCCAGCACCACACCGGGGCCCTCAGCCGTCCCTCTGCACCCCATGG